TCGCGCCGGGTTCTGGCCTCTCAGGACGTCACTTTTGACGAGTCCGTCCCCTTCTACCGCCTCTTCCCCTACCGCACTGCCCCGCTCCCCCCCCGCCTCTCTTCCTCGCTCCAGGTGCTGAGGTACCAGACCCCCTCCCCCCTCAGGGTGCCGCTCCCTCAGGTGTGTCCCAGGTAGACCCGGGTGAGCCTGTCGAGGTAGCTGTTGACTCGCGTCCTGCGTCTGGGGGTGCTGAGCCTGGGAGTGCTGCGTCTGAGGGTGCGGAGCCTGGGGGTGCTGAGCCTGGAGGTGCGGAGCCTGGGGGTGCTGAGCCTGGAGGTGCGGAGCCTGGAGGTGCGGAGCCTGGAGGTGCTGAGTCTGGACGTGCTGAGTCTGGGGGTGCTGAGTCTGGGGGTGCTGAGTCTGGGGGTGCTGAGCCTGAGCGTGCTCCACCTGGAGGAGCCCTCTCCTCCCAGCAGCTGCAGGAGAGGTACCTCGAGTACTGCCGCCTCCGGAGAGGTGCTTCTGGAGCTCGTCCCGGTACTTCCCCTCCTACCCAGGAGCTCCCCCCCATTCAGGTGATCCGCGAGTGGTACACGCGGCGCTGCAGTCTTCGTAGTGGTGCTCCTGGTGCTGCGGACCCGAGCGGTGGTGCTGTTGCTGGTGCTGAGGACCCGGACGCTGGAGCTGCTGCTGGTGCTGAGGACCCGGGCGTTGGAGCTGCTGCTGGTGCTGAGGACCCGACCGGTGGCGCTGCTGCTGGTGCTGAGGACCTGACCGGTGGCCCTGCTGCTGGTGCTGAGGACCCGGGCGTTGGAGCTGCTGCTGGTGCTGAGGACCCGACCGGTGGCGCTGCTGCTGGTGCTGAGGACTCGGGTGTTGGAGCTCCTACTGGTGCTGAGGACCCGGGCGTTGGAGCTGCTGCTGGTGCTGAGGACTCGGGCGTTGGGGCTGCCACTGGTGTCCCTGCTGCTTCTGGAGACGCTGCGCGGCCGCGACCGTACTTCGTACCGCTCCTTCAGCAGGTTCTTGGTCAGGCTCCTCCTCCTAGTCCTCCTCCCTCCGTCGAGTGTCCTCTGCCTGTCCCACCGCAGTCACAGTTACCGCCTGCCTCGCCTCTCCCTGCTCCCTCTCCTTACGCTGGTCCCACAGGAGGTCTTACAGAGCGTCGTGAGCCTGAGTCTCGTCCTGCGTCGCCTGTTCGTACTGCTCGCACTGGTCGTCGTGTCCCACGTGAGCGTCCTCCTCCTGTCCCTGGCACTCACTACATGACTCTGCGTCCCTCCACTGCTCCGCAGCGTGTCCCGCTGCCGTCTCCTCCTGCGTCCTCTCTTCCTACTCTTCCTGACCCGGAGTCTGACTCCCGTCGTGCTGCCAGTCCCACTGTTACGCGTCTCCTCGCTACAGTTGTCACTGACCCGACCTTTGAGTCCTCTGCTGCGTCTGCTCTGGTCGCTGAGTTGGTTGACTTTGCTGCTCGCTGTCGCCTAGACTACGCTGCCAGCCTTGTCGCTGAGTCTGAGTCTGCGTCTGCCTGTCCTCCGTCCGTCGGGGGTGCGTGTGCTCTTGGCACGGACGTCCTTGAGGACAGACAGGAGGAGTTCCACTGCCTTGCTGCTGCTTTGCCCCGTCTCGTGTCCTTGCTAGTTGCCCCTGAGGGAGACCCGGATGCACCAGACATCCCGACCCCACGCTCTTACGCTGAGGCGATGGCGGGTCCCTACTCCTCTCAGTGGCAGACAGCCATGGACGCAGAGATGGCTTCCTGGAAGTCCACAGGCACCTACGTAGACGAGGTTCCCCCTCCTGGGGCGAACATCGTCAGTGGCATGTGGATTTTCAGGGTGAAGCGGCCGCCGGGTTCTCCGCCTGTCTTCAAGGCGCGCTACGTGGCTCGAGGCTTCAGTCAGCGAGAGGGAGTAGACTTTTTTCAGACCTTCTCCCCCACCCCGAAGATGACTACTCTTCGGGTGCTGCTGCACATAGCCGCTCACCGCAACTACGAGCTTCACTCTCTTGACTTCAGCACTGCTTTCTTGCAGGGCAGCCTGCACGAGGAGATCTGGCTGCGCCGCCCCCCTGGCTTCACTGGGTCAGTTCCTCCTGGCACCCAGTGGAGGCTTCAGCGGCCGGTCTACGGTCTCCGCCAGGCGCCACGTGAGTGGCACGACACACTGAGGACGACACTTGCGGCTCTTGGGTTCGCTCCCTCTACTGCTGACCCGTCGCTGTTTCTACGCACCGACACCTCGCTGCCGCCGTTCTACATCCTCGTGTACGTCGACGACTTGGTCTTTGCCACTGCTGACACCGCGGCACTCGCCCACGTGAAGTCGGAGCTGCAGAGGAGACACACGTGCACAGACCTGGGTGAGCTGACGAGCTATCTTGGCTTGCGGATCACCCGGGACAGAGCACGGCGCACCATCACCCTGACTCAGTCACACATGGTGCAGCAGGTTCTCCAGCGCTTCCGCTTCACGTACTCCTCGCCTCAGTCCACTCCTCTGCCTACCGGTCACTCGCTCTCAGCTCTGCCTTCGGATGAGTCCGTAGAGCCGAGTGGCCCGTATCCAGAGCTTGTGGGCTGCCTCATGTACCTGATGACCTGCACTCGACCTGACCTTGCATACCCTCTTAGCATCCTAGCACGCTATGTCGCTCCTGGCCGTCACCGGAAGGAGCACATGGATGCTGCTAAGAGGGTGTTGCGCTACTTGTGCAGTACGTCGGGCATGGGGCTTGTGCTTGGAGGGCGAGACCGGGTTGTTCTCACAGGGCACTCAGACGCTTCTTGGGCAGACGACCAGGCTACTCAGCGGTCGTCCCAGGGTTACACCTTCAGCCTTGGCTCTGGCTCAGTTTCTTGGCGTTCTACTCGCTCTTCTTCTGTTCTCAGCTCCAGTTGTGAGGCTGAGATCTACGCCACAGCCATGGCTGCTCAGGAGCTACGCTGGCTGACCTACCTGCTGACCGACCTCGGAGAGCGGCCTCGTTCTCCTCCAGTGCTGTACGTCGACAACAAGGCTGCCATTGCCTTGTGTGAGGAGCACAGACTGGAGCACAGAACGAAGCACATCGCTCTGCGGTACTTCCTTGCTCGAGAGCTGCAGCAGCGTGGTCAGCTTTGTCTGCGTTACGTGGCCACAGAGGCCAACACTGCTGATGTGTTCACCAAGGCGCTTCAGCCTTGTGACCATCAGCGCTTTTGCACTCTGCTAGGCCTTGTACCTACTGGGCCTCACTTGCTTACCTCTTGACCTTGCTTGTACTGTGATCACTATATATATATGCCTACTTGTTTACTTTTGCTAGGTTGTGATCACTGTATCTCTTGCTTTGTTATAAACCTGCATGTGAACTGGTCTTGTGACCGCTTGCTTGTGCTCGGAATTTGTGTGGAATCCTTGAGATCCACCCTGAGCTTGCTTTGCTTTGCTTTGACTGGTCTTGTGACCCTGTGGTTGTCTCCCACTGCGCCTATGGGGGTGTGTCAAACATTGTATGTTTATATTGTGTAGGCTGTAGTGGGTTACACCTTAGGGGGTACACAAAGTTAGGGTTTCCTACTTGTACCAAACTCTGTGCTAGTTCATTTCATTCCTGCTCAGTTATTCTGACACTGAGCTCACGACACCCCTATAGGGGGGCGGTTTTTGTTGCGGCGGGCTCGTTTGAAGTTATTAGGAGCTGCAAACTAACCCCAGGGTACTCAGGACTGTGGCAAAGATGATCGTGCTTGGCGATCCAGGATTTGAATAACTTCGCCTTAAGACATGTTTGGCGCCCAATGGTCCAGTGGCAAAGCAAATTTCCAACCAATTGGTGTAAATATCGTATTATATTATTCGCATTTTTGCACATTAAAATAAATGCAGAGAAATGCAAGCTATAAGACAGCACACTCTGAGTTCGGCGAATAATTTGGAGAGAGTGCGACGGTCAATACCGCGTACAGCAAATACTGGGTCTCCAATCCCAGCAATAACCATTCAGTTCTTGTTTTCCATCCAAGGCTCTCGCTAGGATTCTGGCCTGTCTGACAGTATCTGTAAAAAAAAAAAATTCGTCTTACGCTCAGATTGGCCTTTTTTTTTTTGTCTGACCTCTAAGATGAAACATTAATACCAGTCTGAAAAAACAGATGAACTATTCTACGGGGCCTACGCGGTGCGGGGTTTGGGCGGGGACCACAGTTACGTGCATCCGGGATGCATACAGGTCACACCCCATTGCACAAAATGACGGTGTCGGTGCCTCTTGGGTGTGGCTGGCATCGGCGCCTACACCCACGCAGCGACAAAGTGCTGGCAGCGTTGCACATACGTAGTTAGCTGCTGCCAGCGGTGCTGTTTCCTCCAGCGCGGATGCTACGGGACCGAGGCATTCATTGCGCATACATGTATACAGGCTGGCAGATACCCTAACTAGTGGCCCTATGGACAAGTGGGCAGAAATGTCGGTTTCAGACGGAATCGTACTCGTTATCTGGTGTCTAAGATGAAGCATAGTATGCGATCTGAAAATGTATCTGAAGTAAAATCATTTGTCTTACTGATCATCTGAAGTAAAATCATTTGTCTTACAGATCATCTGAAATAAGAAAATTAAGTCTGAAACGCAGACCATCAGACCAAATTGGTCTGCTAACGAGAGCCCTGTTTCCATCCCATCATACCGTACATTTTGCGCCAATTTCATTTTAGTATCAGCGGCATAGACAGACCATCATCCTTTGCGTACTGGACATGCCATCGCCATGCGGACGAGGCAGAGCGCGCTACGCCAAAGCCGTTCGAGGCGGAGACGCCAGGGGGGTCTTATAATGTTAGCCTCCCAAAAGGGGAGTAACTGCGTACACACGACCCATTTAGCGTACCCCCCTCCGTATTTATAAACCCGGGGGTCTACAAGTGAAGGGGTCTTATATCCGAGGAATTACGGGTATGATTGTTATCCTGCTCTGAAGTTTAACCATTTTAGACAACTCCACAACTTGCACGCATCACTGCTAACGGTTGCTATTTCCCTAAGTGCTTTCTGACTTCTGGCAACACGGCAATCAGCTGCACCAGGGCAGCATGGGTGAGCCTTGCGAGCCCAAGGGAAGAGGGCGAGAGGGCCTGGGTGCTGTGAGACACTGTGTGTAACGCACGTTCCAATGCACAGGTGAGGAGGAGGAGGTGATGGGAAGTTGAGGTGGCATGTGAGAGCAGTGCTGCATGCACGGGAGGGCATGAGAGCAGCCCATGCAGCACCTGGTTGGAGGAGCACACGGAAGGGGTGTGGGAGGGGAGCCGAAACAAAAAAAGGCATGAACAAGAACATCAAACCCATTCAACAAACAAAATGACAGCATTGCGAACCACAGACAACACCACTTGACAGCAACGCTGCAGCCTGCTGTGCTTGGCGGCATAATGCAAAGCCACTAACCTCCACCGTGAGCGCTAGAACATCAACTTCTGGCTGCCTGCCCTCTGCCCGCCCTGCAGCAGCTGCTCCTGCTGTGGCTGCAGGGGATCCAGCGAGCTGCAGTGCACGTGGAGTGGTAGGCAGCAGGAGAGCGAGGAGGGCGGTGTGGGCGTGGGCACGGTGGAGGCTGTGCGAGGCAGCGTGCACAACGGCTGTGAGCCACAGCAGCAGCCCGCCTTGCCGCACCAGGTGGCCCGCGTACGATGGCAGACAGCACACGCGCCGCAACACCTGCAGAATCAGCTTGCAGGTGAACACATCGCTCACCCCACACGCGAAGAAACTTCCCAGAAGCTCCACAACAAAGCGGCGCGGCAGAACAGCACCCGCCTCCAAACTGCCAGCCTTGTGGCCTTCCTCTCCATTGCCACTGCCCCCATCCCCATCGCCTCCCTTGTCCCCGTCCCCCCTGCCACCACCCATCTCTTGCCCTTCCCCTCCAGCAGCCAGTTGTGGGGCAAGGGGAAGTAACAAAGGGACAGGGGCTGCAGGGGAGGCATGGAAGGGTGGGAGGGCGAGGGCGGCGAGGAGGTGCAGCAGCCACGTGCGCTGGGCGCGGTGGTGGGGCGAGCCACTCATGAGGCACGGCAGCAGCAGTGGCACGGTCTGCAGCGGTGGGAAGGGGGAGTGGAACAATGATGAGGACCAACAACCAACAATGATGAGGTCCAACAATGATGAGGACCAACAATGATGAGGTCCAACAATGAGGCAAAGGGGACCGCAGGCAGGGAGAGAGGAGAGAAAAAGCGAATGGGAGCCCTACTGTGAGGTTGAAGGATGGTTGGGAGAGAAGCGATTGGGAGAGGAGAGGAAAGAGAGGGGAGCCCCCCCCCAGGTGCATGACTTGGAGCATTTCCGCCATGAAGAGCACAGAGAGGCGCGGCAGGCGCTGCCACGTGGTGGTGACGGTGGCCCGCACACAGCGCACCACGTGCTGTACGGCATGCTGCTCCCTCCACCCCTCCTCCTGCTCCTGCACCACTCCACTCCACAACCAACGGGGCGGAACAGACGTACACCGCGTGGATGAAAGGTGCAGGGGAGATGCAGAGGAAGACATCAGTGCTGGGAACAAAGTTCGTTCTTACCAGTTATATCACTCTTCCCGCTGTTCAATATTTCACCTCTCTTATGCATGCCAGCATCATCAGCCGAAGAGCGCTACTTGAGCCCAAAATGGCTTGCAGCAGCGCACATACCTCGAGCAGAGCGGCGAAGAGTGCGAGTGTGGCGTAGCCCATGCGCCGCATGCTGTGCTGCGCCGACGCCAGGCTGGCAATGGCAGCCGCCATGAGCCCGCAGCGGGCAGCCATGCGGGGGGAGAGGAGGCGGCGCGAGAGGGCGTGCAGGGTGAAGGGGAGCAGGAAGGCGGGGTCGTAGGCTGCCTGCTGCACCGCCACGTCCTGAGCTGCTGCTGACCCGGGGAGAGGGTGGCCCTGCCCAGCCTGCTGCCCCACACAAGGGTCGCCCCCCCCTCCCATGCAGCTCGCACTGCACTCGCACATGTGCGTGCCATCGTGCCCCATCCACTCACTCACCCCCTCACCCTCTTGCTCCACGTCCTCCACTCCCCCTCCCTCTCCATCTCGCTCCTGCTCGCCCGCATCCCCTCCCAAGTGTGCGTGGCGGAGGGCCGGGAAGGCGAGCACGAGCAGCCCACAGCGTGTGGCGTCCACCGCCGCCTCCTCCCACCAGAACCGCCACTGCCGCTGCTCGCGCCCCTCAAACACACCATCACCATTCCCACCCACCTCCCTTCCCCCCGCTACCCCCATCTCCCTGCCATGTTGCGCCGCACCTTCTGCCTGGCCCTCGCCCCCTGCCTGTGCTGGTGCTCGTCCCCTCCCCTGCTGCCACTCCCAACGTGACGCGGCCCCCTGGCCCCAAAGGAAGTCAAACCACTCAAAACCCCGGAACTCCTCTGCACCCACCGCGCTCATCCCATCAGCACCCCCTGCTGCTTGCGCAGCTTGGTGGTCCCCCCCCTCAATGTGGGCTGCCGCACGTGGCTTGTCGTGGCGTGCAAGGCGTGTGAGGAGGTGCATGAGGGCGAGCAGGGCGCGGTCGGTGGGGCTGAGGGTGGCGCCGTAGAGGGCGAGCAGCAGCGCAAAGAGCGACTGCACGGCACGGTGACACGCCGATGAGCACACACGGCCAGACACGTGGCACAGCCTCATTCGCAGAAAAACAGTCATCAGCCGCAGCAATTCCAACCGCGCTGCGCCCTCACCTGCACACTTGCCCTCCTCATCCCCCTCTGATTCTCTCTTCACCCTCTTCCTCTCCCTTCGCTTTCCCGCCTCCCCATTGGCCCTATCCCCCTCTCGACCATAGCTCTCTCCCCTCCCTCCCTGCATGGCTTTGTGCCTCACATGGCACTGCGAGCGGCCAGAGCATGGGGGAGAAAAGGCACGAGTGCAGGAGTTCGCTGGCCTGCACCTTCACCTCCACGCCTGCCCCTGCTTCCGCTTCTCCCCCCAACTCCTCCCTGTCTGCATCTCGCTGCCCCTCTTGCACCTGCCACGCTGTCCCCCGCCAGCTGGCGTGTGTGGGAGGACCGCGAGCAGAAGAGGGCGGGCAGGATGCGGCAATGAGGGGGAGATCGGGGAGGAGGGCAGAGGGGATGAGGGAGAGGGGCGACGGGAGCGATACGGCTCTGCTGCTGTCCTTGTGCAGTTGGTGGGCCAGCGCTGCAGGCAGGGGGGCGGCGGAGGGGCCAGCGGAGGGGGAGAGGAGGAGAGGCAGCGTGCGAGAGTGCGCGAGGAGGAGGTCCAAGAGGTCGCACCCCACGCTGGACACCGCTGCTGCCACGCCTTGTGACGGCGACTGTGACGGCGACTGTGATGGCGGCGGTGCTGCTGCTGGCACGGGATGCTCCGGTGGTTGCACGGAGGGGGCAGTGGCGGCGGCGAGCAGGGCACGGCAGGCGAGGGTGAGGGAGTGGAAGGCGAGAGGGTGGGCGAAGCGGTGCTTGAGGCACGCCACAGCTGCAAGGCGCATCGAGGCGAGGCCGTGCTGCAGCAGAGGCAGGGGAACGTGCGGGGTGGTGGGAGACGGTGGCGAGTGAGGCGGCATGGGAGAAGGTGGAGCAGCAGTGAGTGTACGTGCCAGGTGTGTGGCCACACGAGCCAGCTGCACGGCTGCCACCTGCTGAAGCTGTCCCGCTGCCATTGTCACCCGCCCACCACCCACTGCCCTCTCACCTTCTCCCCCCAAATGCTCCCTTTGCCCCCACCCACTGCCACCACCACTGCCCGTCACCACAGCCACTTGTGCCTCCGGTGCGAGAGGGAAGATGCTTCCAAGAAGATTCAGAAGGGCAGCCAAAACCCTCATCTGCGCAGCAGGTGTTCCCCATACCCTTCTCATGCCCTCGCTCTCCCCACCGCAGCTGCCAGCGCCAGCACCGCCAGCGCTACCAGTGCTAGCAGCGCTGCAGGGCGCCGTGGGCACGGGGCCGGTGCAGGCCAGCCGGGAGGTCAGTGCCACCTGCAGCAGCGTGGCAGCCGCCACACAGCCACCCTGCACACACCACCGCCCACCTCCAACCACCCCCCCTCTACCCTCCTCTGCCTCCCTCCTGCCCTTACCACTACCCCTCCCTTTCCCACGTGTGCCCTTGCCTTCCCCCGGCATTCCGCCCTCTTGCTCCTCGTGTGGCACCAGCACGTGGACGAGCGAGGCGAGGCGCGCGTGGGGGAGGGGATGAGCGAGCAGCAGCGAGTGGAGGAGAGCGGGAACGTACGATAGCAAGGAGGGAAGGATGTGAGGAGGAAGGTGGGAGAGCGGAAGGTGGCAGGGAGGGATGGTTGCGGCGGTATGGGGCGAGGTGCAGGGAGGGAGCAGGGCGAGGAGCATGTCTCGGTACGTGCACGCCACCACACTCGTACCTGCTGAGCCTCCACCCTCGCCCTCCTTGCACTGCCCGCCCACAGCAGCAGCCACTGCAGGCAGCAGCATGAGCATGCGTATCCACCCGTCCCCATCCTGCCACCACGCATGCCCCTCACCACCTCCTGCATCCGCCCTGCCACTCACACCCCTCGCTGAGCGTGCGCCCGACCACTCCTTATCCTCGCCACCCATCCACTGAGCCACAGCCTGCACCACCTCGCCCGCCACTCTGCTGCTCCCTGTGCGCCCCTCAGAGCGCCCGTGAGAGTGCGAGTGAGCAGCGAGGAGCAGCGAGAGCAGGTTGCCACGGCGCCACGAGGGGTGCTGCACGCACGCGTCAATGACGCGCCGCTCAAGAGCTGCAGGGCACACACGCGCCACGTGCACGCGCGAGCACGGTGCGTGGCACGCCACAGGGCCTGGCCAGATGTGCAGGCAGGGCAGGTGCACCGCTGCTTCCAGTGCCACGACAGCTGTGTGCTCTGCAAGTCGTGTGGCCCGTGTGAGCAGCGCGTGCAGGGCCGCCTCCACCAGCGCTGAGAGCGCCCCACGCGCACACATGTGCGCCCCCCCACACACCGCGCTGTGCTGCAGTGGCTGTGGGGCCACCCACGACAACCCACCATGCCCCTCGCCCACAGCTGCCTTGGCGTGTTGGAATGTGACACATGCAACTGTCAGCGCCATGTGCTCACATGCCCCCCTCACATTTTCCCTCTCACCATCCCCTGCTGCCCCACCCCCAATCACCATGCTCCCATCCGCCATCCGCCCGTGCGCCATTCCCTGCACCACTGCTGCCATCCATCCCGCCCATGCTGCCAGGCTGGCAAGGCACGGCGAGGAGGAAACACGGGCGACGTGCGGACAGGAAGGGGCAAGAGCAGGCTGAATAGCAGAGGCACATGGAGGGGCGGGCTGCAGGAGGGGAGACGGGGAGGAGTGGCATGGCAGGGCAATGAATCGAGAGAGCCACAGCGCCACCACCACGCTCACTGGCACTGCCGCCCCTTGCGCCGCCTCCTCTTGCGCTGCCTCCTCCCCAGCCCCTTCCCCTCCTCCCCTGCCATCTCCCTCCCCCCTCCACGTGACACAGCTGGTGTCAAAGTCGAAGTGCCAGTCGGCCAGCGCCCCTCCTGCCACCTGCCGCCACACCCTGCACTGCTCCTGCGCACTGCTGCCCACCCCGCCCTCGCCGCTCCTCCCAGGCAATACCAGCACCACCGCATGCGAGGCTGTGCGCACAGGCGGGGGGCAGGCAGGGGGAGACGGGGAGTGTGGAGGGAGGAAGGGCGCGAGGGAGGCAGCAAGGGAGTGGTGGGCGACGCAGAGGAACGGCTGGCAGGCCTGCCATAGGAGAAGGGCGCTCTGGGGTGGTGGGGGAGCGGGCGAGGGCGAGTCGGGGAGAGAGTGGTGGAGGGAATGGGAGAAGCAGAGGAGGCGGAGGAGGAGGCGGGAGATGGACAAGGGGAGGAAGGTGAGGAGGGAGGAGAGGTGTGCAGAGGGCCAGGCAGTGACGTCATCGAGGTGGCCTGTGAATGCTGCGAGGAGCAGAGGGTGCGACATGACGTCAGCTGCCTGCGCCATGAACTCACACGCTCTCTCATCCTCCTCGCTGCCCTGCTGCCCGTGCTCGTCCCCCCCGCCTCTCCACGTGCTGGCAGCGTGCACGGGGTGGGAGGGCGAGGGCAGCGGTGGCGGCATGAGGGCAGCCTCCAGCGCTGCCATGCACACACGCACACACCGCTGCCGCCGCCTCCACTCCGGCCCCCCCACCTGCTCGCCCCCCGCCGTACCCACGCCAAGCACTCGCCCCAGCTCAAACACAACAGCCCTCCCCACTTCCCCCCTCCTCTCCCCCCACAGGCTTCCTTCGCCCAGGCGGGCATGGCTTGGCCCTGCGCCCCTCTCTTGCAGCACGGGGGGAGACAGCAGGCGCAGGCGGGCCAGCAGCAGCGCAGCAAGGCAGGAGGCGAGGCGGCGGTGGAGCTTGAGGGGCGAGAGCAGGGCGCGCACGCACAGGGAGAGCAGAGGCGCGCAGGGCAGGGAGAGGAGGAGGTGGGAGAGAGCAATCGTGGAGGGGTGGGGAGAAGAGGGCATGGGGGGGAGGAAGAGAGGCAGCGGTGAAGCCACCGCGGGGGACATGTGGTGGTGGTGGCAGGTGGCGGCAGGCTGCAGTGCTTGGTGCGCCAGCACACTCGCTTCCAGCAGGGCAGGCGCGTGCACTGGCAGCAGCGAGGGGAGGAGGGCATGTGCGAGGAGAGTGGAGGAGAGAAGAGGCATGGCGGGTGGAGGAAGGGAGGCAGCGAGCGAGGCGAGGCGAGGGAAGAGGGCGATGAGCGAGGGTGGATGGGCAGAGGAGAGGGCGAGAGTGAAGCGTGAGAGGGCACTCGCTTGTTCCGCCTGCAGGCTCGCCTCCGCCGCCCCCACTGCTGCCCCCACTGCTGCCTCCACTGCTGCGAGCCCGCCAGCATCACAGGTGTCGCAGCTGTGAGCACCCGGCCCAGCCACACTGTGCCGCCTCTTTCCCCTCCCCGCCTGCTGCTCCTCAGGCCGCACAGGAAGCAGCGAGGCGGCCGACTCCAGCAGCGCTTGCAGGCAGAGCAGCGGCGCAGAGAGCGGGGGGCGACCATGTGGCGCGGGGGAGGACGGGGCGGAGGGGGAGGAGGAGGTGGTGGTGGAGGAGGAGGAGGACAGGGCAGGGCGGAGGATGTGAGTGATGAGAGCAGCGAGTGGGAGAGGGCATTCCTGTTGATAGCCACGGCAAAGAGAGGAGAAGAGGCGGGCAGGACAAGGCGGATAGGACGGGTGCAGGCATGAGTGTGTGGATGCAACAGCGGCATACGCTGGTTTGAGCGGGCATTACAGGGATGTAGGGGGTGGAAGAAAGATGAGAACTGGGGAAAAAACAAAGACTGGGTTGAGTTGAGCAGATGGTGGAGCATCGAGCAACGGAGAAGAAACAAGGAAAGGGGAAAGCAGTGAGGCACCTGAAGGGAGATGAGGTGGGTGAGGGCGGTGCAGGTGAAGGTGGCGATGGCAAGCTGCACTGGCGGAGAGGAGGAGGAAGAGGAAGTGGAGGAGGACGGGGAGGTGGCATGCAGCACTTTGAGGCAGTTGGTGAGAATGCAGGCGGGGAAGGGACCGAGGGAGCCCATGGGGGTGTGGCCCCGGGCACGGCAGGAGGGGCAGTGGGATGCATGGGCAGGGGGTGGTGAGGCGGCGGGGAGGGCGAGGAGGTACTTGAGGGGTGCGCGGGCCACACACGCCACGGCATCCGCCAGAAACGCCGCCACCCCTCGTGCTGCCGCCGCACTGCTGCCAGCACTGCCGGGTGCCATGGTGGGCAGGAAGCGCAGCCAGATGGCAGCTTCTGATTGGCGGGCATGGAAGGCATGTGAGGAGAGGATGGCAGCGGTGCAGAGCCAGTCAACGTCAGGCGCGAGGTCAGCGGGCGGGGGGGAGAGGCGCAGCAGCAGCAGCGGCAGCAGATGGTTGTGCAGCGGAAAGGTGCCGAGGGACTCGCCCCCCACAGGTGCCGCTTCAACCGGTGCAGGCAGGGGCGGTGTGCTGTGCGCCCCTCCAGTCCCAGCCCCGGGGAATGCAAGGGCGTGTTGAGAAGGCGGCGGGAAGAAGGCGAGGAGGAGGCGCAGAGTGGCTCGCAGCAAGGGGGGAGGCAGCGAGGGCAGGTGGGCGCGCAGGAAGCGCAGCGGATCCACGTGGCAGGCCGCCACGGCAGCCGGCACCACCCTCTGCATGCAGCAGACAGGCAAGGGGGGGGGATAGAAGGGGAAGGGGCCGTGAGGCAAAGCGAAGCAGCAGGTGCACGCAAGGCAAGACACGAGTTGCCCAGTAGAGAGCGAGTACCTGGTAGAGAGCGAGGAGTACCTGGTAGAGAGCGAGGAGTACCTGGTAGAGAGCGAGGAGTACCTGGTAGAGAGCGAGGAGTACCTGGTAGAGAGCGAGGAGGCGCAGTGCCTTGCAGTGCAATAGCAGGCGAACCGACCAGCGCCCTCCCTCCTCCTCGTCATCCATCTCATCATCCATCCCCACCTCCTCCCCCTCCTCTTCCTCCGCCTCTTCCTCCACTTCTCCCATCTCTCCCTCCTCTTCCTCCTCCTTCCCCTCCTTCCCCTCCTCCCCCTCACCCCCCCCTTCCTCCATCACCTGCCACTCACCTGCTGCACCCCGCCTTCTCTTCCGCCTGCCGCCCTCCCTTGCGCCCTCTGCCCGCCTCACCCCGCAAACTGTCCCCCCTCGCGGGGCCACGAGTCCGCCGTGGTCGCCCTGGCCGCTGGTGGGCGGGGAGGCAGCCAGCACGCGCAGCACGATCTGCACGTCGGGCACGGCGCCCACCACGTGCACCCGCACCCCCGCCACCACCGCACTCCAATACCTGCCCGCCACCTGCTGCTCCTCCACCGCCTCCACATTCCCCTCACTCGTCCTCTCTCCCCCATCCCCACGCTCATTCCCTCTCGCCCACCACAACCCTCCCTCACCTCCCTCATCTGCATCTCCCGCTGCACCCGTGCGGGCGTGCGTGGCGGCGAGGGGGAGGGCGAGGGCGAGGAGGGGCAGGGTGGCGGAGAGGCAGTCGAGCAGCGTGCAGAGCGCCAGCAGACGCACGCGGGGCGAGCGGTGCAGCACGGCGCGCGTGAGGGCAGGGCGCGGCAGGCATGGGGGGAGCATGCGGGCGAGGAGGGGGGAGACGTTGGGCGAGGGGAGGTGCAGGGAGAAGGGCGCGGAGGCGGAGAGGAGGGGCATTGTGGAGCAGACGCGCACAAGGCGGCTCACCAGCGCCATGCCCGCGAACCTGGGGCAGGGGGGATGCGGCATGGGCGGGGCGGGGCGGATGGGGGACGAGCGGTGGAGGGGCCATTTGACGGGGCGATTTGGATGACGGGATGATGGAGATTGAGAGAGAAGAGGGGCGAGGAGAAGAAAGAAGATAAGAGGAAGCAGATGAGAAACGGAAAAACTGTTCGGTGCAAGAAGGTGTTTGGAGTGAAGCAAGGCACATGACAGCGCACCAGTGGGCGTGGGGCGTGGGGTGCAGGGAGAAGGGAGGGCGCTGCAGGTAGGCGGCAGCCAGGGGAGGGTACGCCTGGGCCATGGCCAGCAGCAGCGAGCGGTGCGCCGCACACTGCAGCACATGCAGCCCACGCGCGAGGCGAATGAGACGATCCATGCCGGCCGACCAATGAGAGGACGCTTGGGAATCAGCAGCGGAGGAGGCCGACCCGCCCTTGCCCGACTCCTCCTCCCACACCCCTCCCGCACCCTCCGTGCCCGCCACTCCCCCCTGCCCTTCCTTGCCCCCTCCTCCCATCCCTTCCTCCGCCATATCCTCCCCCTCCCCCTCTTCTTCCATCCCCTCCTGTGGTCTCCCCTGCTGCGCGCCCCCTCCACTGCCCCCCACGAGCACGCCATGGCGGGGGTGCGTGCACACGGCCAGGAGCACCTGCAGCGCCATCCCTGCTGCCACCGCCCCCGCACCGCCCCCCTCCCCGCCGCCCCCCTCCTCCCTCCCCGCCACACGCGCCATCTGCTCCAGCGCACTATCCCCGAACAGAGCTCCCTGCAGGCCACGTGGCACATTGCTACTGGCAGCCATGACCCGCGCCTGCAGCACCCACAACACCTTGCCAGCCGTCACGGGGTGGTCGACCGCTAGACGCCAGAGAATGCGGGCCAGGTTGTGCCTGTGCGCCACGAGGGCGTGCGTGAGAGTGGCGGCATCCGCCACAGCCAGGCACGCCACCACCCACTCCACCATCAGCACGCGCGCTGGCACCTCCCCCACGTCCGCGCACGCCCCCACCCCTTGCTTGCCCAGCAACACCCCTACCGCCCCCTCCTCCCCCTCGTCCGCCTCCTCCCCCAGCCCCCCCTGCTCCCCCTGCTCCCCCTGCTTCGCCTGCTCCCCCTGCTCCCCCTGCTCCCCCTGCTCCCCCTGCTCCCCCTGCTCGCCCCCCACGACCACCGCTGGTGTGCCAGACCAGAACACGGCGCCTGCTGCCCCGCCTTGTGCGCCCACGTGCTTCCCCCTCTCGCCCCTCCCTCTCCCCCGCTGCCCGGCGCCTGGGAGGGCGCGGGGGGCTGGGTGAGGGCGGGGAGGGCGGGGAGGGAGAAGTCGAAGGAGAGGAGGAGGTAGCGCGTGAGGGCGGGCGAGATGAGGGAGAGCGCGAGCAGCAGGCGCAGGGCGGAGGTGGCGTGCGCGTGGGAGGGGGAGGAGAGATGCGCGTAGAGGCCTCCCTTCCTGCAGCACCGCGGCACCAGGGCGCGCGCCAGCGCCTCTATGCGGCGGGGGAGGGACACAGGCGCGCCCAGCACGGGCGGAGGGACGGAGGGAGGGGCGCGCGCGGGTGTGTGGGGGAGAGGGCGCGGTGTGTGCGCGGCGAGGGCGAGAATGTCCGCCAGCACCGCCATCAGCGGCACGGCCACCTGCGCACGGACGCGATGGGGGACGCGAGGAGGAAGGAGAGAGGGACACTGTGAGAACACGGAGGCTGGGAAAGTGAAAGAGGTTCTGGGCGCAGGGTTTACGAGCGGGACTACGGGTTGGGGGTTCAGCAGCGCGTGATCAGAGCGTTGCAAATTGAGTGCGCAGCGATGCGGGGAGCGGAAGGGGCGGCGGGCCCACCTGGTGCGAGGCGCCGCGGCGGTGGCAGGCGTCCCACAGGCGGAGCAGCTGCAGCCAGTCCGGCGGCGACACGCGCACGTACGCGTCGACGGCCCGCGCGCCGTGCTTCGCGATGCGCGCGTGCAGGCGCTGCAGCCCGTCGATGACGGCGGCGGGCTCCGCCTTGTCCAGCTGCGCCACCGCCTTGCGCATCTCCGCCCCCATGCGCTCCCTCCGCTTCCCCGCCTCCTCCGCTGTCGGCCCCTCCGCCCTCCCCGGACTTCCGACGTCGTCCTCCCCTTCCGCGCCTCCCCATTCTGCCCGGCCCATGATGCCGTTCGCTCACACAACAGCTCCTACCAGCTACCAACTACGTGCCTCACAGGTGGAACGGTGCTATCAGCGCGCGCGACGGCATGGGGTGGGAGCACCCAGTGTAAAGCGACGGCGGTTGCGCGCGCTGCCTGCGGACGAACGCCACGCGCGAATCTGACGTGTGACGGGAATCGGTACTCTCGGCATCCTTGTGGTGAAAAGCCGCTATGCGAGTTTCGTGAGTCGGGTCGGGTGCCAAATTGAAGTTAGGATCAGCTTTTTGTCATTCGAGTTCAAACCCAAAAGCATACACGGTGGTGTAGTGATTGGTGCTCATACTCGATATTGAAATACTATCCCCGTTTTTACACGCCTCTATGTCACAAAAGAATAGTGTAGCACGTGTAGCCCACAATCATCCCACCACAAGCATCCTGCCCCAAAGCCTTCACCCCACCTTCCCTCTCGCACTCTTATCTCCGTCTTGCGCTGCTCTCACAATACTGTCGTTGCACGTGCCTCGTGAATTCTACGCACTGTCGTCGTCCTACCTTACCTACTCGTCGCACCCACCAGTCGCTCCATCCATTCGTTGTCGACTGTGCTCACCGAGGTTCGCGAGTCCTCGTGTCGGGAGGCCACGTGTCCTTGTCGCCTCGCCTTCACCGCCATCCTTCGCATCGACCCGCTCTCCGCATCTTGCGCCCTCTCCGAGCGCGCGCCCTGTCCGCAATGCCCACCCACCTGCCGCACGCCGACGCTGCCTCCCCCGCCGCCCACGCGCTGCACTCCTCGCCGTCGGCCCTCATGCCTCCACCAGGGGCCCCCGCCGCCTCCCCCTTGCCCTCGACGCCCTCCCCCTCGCAGCCCGGCTCCTACCCCATGTCGCGCGTCGCTCCCCCTTACGCACTTGCCGCTAACGCGCCGGGCGGACTGGCAGGTGGCGCGATGGGGGGAATGATGAGTCCCACGGCGAGCGCGCAGCTGCGCTCGTCTGCGCTTGCCAACAACCCTAACGCCTCCGCGCAAGGTGCGCCTTCCCCCTCCGCCATGCCGCCAAGCATGGGGAAGGCCGGCGCTTCCCCAAGCTCCTCTGCTTCGCTGCCCGCCCTGCCCTCCTCCCTGCACCTCCCCGCCAACATGCGCGGCCCCCAGTCCGCCCCCACCATGTCGTCGCACTTCTCCCCCTCCTCAGCCGCCCCCCAATACCCCTCACAGGCGCAATCCGCGTCGCCTGGCGGAGCTTCATATTCCCCCTCTGCGCCGCACCTACAGCAGCAAGGCTACAGCGCCAGCCCAGGGGGAGGCGCGCGGGGCGGAATGCAGCAGGTGGGGGGAAGCGGAGGGCAGGGGGGAACGGAGCAGGCAGAGCAGCATGGGAGGGGGGTGGTGGGGTCCAGCGGCATGGGATATGGAGCCAGGGGACAGGCAGGCGCACAGGTGCGATGTGGTGTGGTGTGGTGCAATGTGGTGCGATGCCATGTGCATGGTTGTGCGAGGCATGGCGTGGGTGGCTGGCATGGCAGCGAGGCAAGGCCACAGGGGCGCCCCCGCAGGCGGATGCTCACAGACCGCTGCGTGCCCGCCTCCCCATCTCGTGCAGCCCTACTCTCATCTCCCTTCCTTTTACGCTCCCCCCTTCACTGTCTCGTCTCGCCTTCTCCCTGTGTCCCCACGCGCCCCCCATCCTTTTTTTCCCTTTTTCTGATTTCCGTCCACTCCCTCCCTGACGCTCATACTATCGTTGCACATCCTCCTTCCCACTCCTTCATCTTCTCTTGCGCCCCCCGCCCATCCCACAGCAGCACGGGCAGCATGGGCCGGTGGGGGGCATGTCTCCCTTGTCCCCCACCCAGGGCAAGCAGCAGCAGTTTGCCCCCTCTCCGCATCACCAGCAGCTGCAGCAGCAGCAGAAACAACAACAACTAAAGCAATAGCAGCAGCAGCAGCAGCAGCAGCATCAACAGCAGCAGCAGCAACAGCAGCAACAACAACATCAGCAGCAGCAGCAACAACAGGCGAAGGCGGCACAGGCGGCACAGCAGGCGCCTGGCAGGGTGCCAGGGCGACCCGATGCTGCTGCTGCAGGCAGTGGCTCGGGGGAGGCTGCAACTGGTGCAGGTGATGCAGCTCACGCCAATGTGGAGGGCAAGAAGCTTCTGGGAAAGAGGACTTTGCAGGAACTGGCAAAGCAGGTAGGCAGCGGGTGGTTCAGTCAATGGATGCACAGGCCAGATGTTGAGTGCTCTTGGCCGCATGCACGCACCATGCCCATGACTTACCTGTTGACTCAGTCCCCTGAAAGTACTTTGGCATGATATATATGGGTAACGACATGGTATGAAATCTGTGGCATGTGGCATGTTATATGTGGCGCACAGGTGGATGCGCGCATGCAGCTGGACCCCGAGGTGGAGGAGGTGCTGCTCGACCTCGCCGACGACTTCATCCAATCCGTACCCACCACCGCCCCCCGCCCCACTCACTTCCCATGCACCCACTGCACTTGCTATCCCGCCACCTACTTGGCACTCCCTCATATTGTTGATTGTTCCAATGCATATGTACCATGCGACTGGATCCAATCTCTACATGTAATCATGCTTGCATGGATGGTTTGTGTGCTTGGATGGCATGTGTGCGTGATGGTAGCATGTGTGCTTGGATGGCATGTGTGTATGGATGGCATGTGTGCATGGATGGCATGTGTGCATGGATGGCATGTGTGCATGGATGGTATGTGTGCATGGATGGTATGTGTGCATGCATGTCTGTGAGACGGCAGGTGACAGCATTCGGCTGTCAGCTGGCGCGGCATCGCAAGTCGCAGGTGTTGGAGGCCAAGGACGTTCTGCTGCACCTCGGTGCGCCTCCCTGCCACCCGCCCTCCACCACCCTGCCTTTCCAATCCGCTCTGTTTTTTTGCGCCACCCGCACCCTCCGCTCTGTCCTTCATCACCTCCGTGCCATGCCATGCCGCCCCAAGCACTGCCTGTGTGTTTCGTGTGTATGTGTGGCAGAGCGCAGCTGGCACATGCGCATCCCTGGCTTCACGGGGGACGATTACCGCGTCTACAAGCGCCCTGTCAGTGCTCTCTCTGCGCCTTCTGCTTGCCCTTGTTGTGCCCTCTCAATGCTCTTGCTGCGTTTTGCACGAGGTGCCATTCAGATGCTTGTCAGGCGTGATGTAGATGGCGTGGGCAGTGATGTGGCACAGTGCGGTGTGCTTGCTTTGTGGCACCAGGATCTTACACGCTCTCCATTCATCTGCATCCCCCCTTGCTGCTGACTCCGCCATGTCCTGCCCTCCCATGTCGCTCTGTGCAGCCTGTCACAGAGGCACATCGCCAACGCCTCGCAGCAGTGAGTGGCTTCCCGCTGTGTTGCTCCTCTGCTGCATGTCTTGCTGCATGTCTTGCTGCTTACCACGTTATTCAAGTGCATAATCCTATTGGTATCAAGAACTGAAGGTGCAGGTGAGGCTGCCCCTATCAAAGTGTCACTTACTGCACTGCCGCACCTCATCCTGCCCATCATGGCATGGCGTGCTGCTCCCCCTCGCCTCCCAGGTTCGCCGCTCTGCAGCCATCGCAGCCAACGAGTCACATGCCTCGCCCGCTGTTGCTGCTGCAGCCCCTGGCTCCACCGGTCCCCATGGCCACTCTGCTGCTGCTGCAGCACAAGCAGCACAGGCTGGCGGGTTTGAGCAGGGAGCACATGCGAGCATGGCGAAGCTAGCATCTCCCAACTTCAAGGGGCCTGGAGGAGCGTCAGGGCCGTTGAGTCCTGTGGGAGGCACGGTGCAAGCATTCAAGCATCATTGAGAAGAAAATATCTGTTTAGGAGTGAGGGGTGCCTAATGTATGTTTCTGTAGTGTTGTCCACTTGATATTATGGTGTACCAGTAGGCAAATTTGAGTTTTGGTCAGGCAGTTGTCGCTCGCACCTCGACATCTCCGCGAAAGAATTTCGTGGGTGTCGACTTGGCGCTACGCCGTTGGTCCACCCGCAGTGGCCCCGTCGCCATCACCCCGCGCGTTATCGTGTTTCGTGAACCGCTGTGCTGCTCTTCGCCACGCACTCAGTCGCTCCCACCCTGATTCCAAACACTTACTTGCAGAGCCTTCATTTTCCTCTCGCCGCATTCCGCGCCTGCCGTAGCGCACCGCATCTTCGTCGCTGTCGCGCAGTTCGACGATGTCGGGACTGGCGATGGATGCTCGACTAGCAACGCGATCTCACCTGTCGCTTGCAACAGTCGCGCAATCGCATGTGCGACTAAGCGAAAGAGGTGTAAGAGCATGGCGAGTGTCGGCAACTCCAGGGCTGCAACCAAGCAACGCGCAGTCGCTGGCATGGCGCGAATCGTGGCACGCACCTTTGCCGCCCCTCTCGCCCATGCGGCAAACGCGGAGAGGGCGGTGGGCTGTTGGCGCGGCGAAGGGGGGAGAGGCGGAGGGGGCAGGCGCGGAGGGGGCAGAGTCGTCGACGGCGTTGACAGCCGTGGAGGCGCAGCCGCTCGAGAGGCGACCAGATAACTGTGAGTCGACAGGTGTTCACGTGAATCGCCTGGCGCGTCGGAGGGCGTGAGGCGGGGGTGGCACGTGTGGACCGCTTAAGAAGCGCGCAGTAGAGGCGTTGACGCAAGCGCACGTGGAGGCCGCATTCGCACTCCCGTTGTTTGCCCTTTCCCCTCTTTTCACATTCCATGCGCCCCACGTGCTTTTCCCCCCGCGTGTCTGTTCCGTGCGCCCCACGACGGGGGCCGCAGGGGTGAGTCCGGCGCTGCTGCAGGAGATGGGCGAGGAGGAGCGGACGCCGATTCAGAAGTGGCTGAACCCGGGGCAGGACGAGCTACCGGACGACGTGCCGATGAGCATCTGGGACCACCTGGAGGAGCTGCGCGAGCGCGTGCTGGTGTCCGTGGGCGCCGTGGGCGCCGCCATCCTGCTCTGCTTCTTCTTCAGCCGCGACCTCGTGGTGTTCCTCGAGGCCCCCGTGTACGCGCAGGGCGTGCGCTTCCTGCAGCTCTCGCCGGGGGAATACTTCTTCACCACGCTCAAGGTGAGTGGGCGCCGCTTCACCACGCTCAAGGTGAGTGGGCGCCGCTTCACCACGCTCAAGGTGAGTGGGCGCCGCTTCACCACGCTCAAGGTGAGTGCCACCTTGCGATGCAAGGTGGACGCGTTTAGCACCACAAGCGCAGTACACACGCCGGCATCCATCGCATGCCATGCTGTGTGGTGTGACCCATGTCATGCCCCACGCCATTCCCCCGTGGCCATGCCATGCCCCATGCGGTGCGTCCGTATCATGTCTCCCCATCCCTGGCTGGCAGGTGGCGGGGTACTGCGGGCTGCTGCTGGGCGGGCCGGTGATTCTGTACGAGATAATAGCGTTTGTGGTCCCAGGCCTCACGGCCAGCGAGCGGCGCTTCCTGGCGCCGATAGTGTTTGGGTCGTCGGTGCTCTTCTACGCGGGCATCGCCTTCAGCTACGTTGTGCTCACGCCCGCCGCGCTCAACTTCTTCATCTCGTACGCCGAGGGCGTGGTGGAGTCGCTGTGGTCCATCGACCAGTACTTTGAGTTCGTGCTGCTCCTCATGTTCTCCACCGGCCTCTCCTTCCAGGCAAGCTCCTCTCCTTCCAGGCAAGCTCCTCTCCTTCCAGGCAAGCTCCTCTCCTTCCAGGCTTCTGTCCCTTCCAGTCACACCCCTCTCTGTCCAGGCAAGCTCCTCTCATCCCACATGCATGCATGCCCACCACCATCCATCTCCACATCTCCACATCTCCACCCTTGCCACCCGCTATCCCGCAACCCATATCCCCGCGATCATATGCCCACACATCCTCCACCATGCATACCCCAGAATTTCACCACCAGGTATTCCAAAATCCCACCATTCATTCTTCTCGTTGTCTCCCCCCGCCCATGTCCCTCCCCTCCATGCACCCTCCCTCCCCCCTTGGTGTCCGTGGCAGGTGCCGGTGATTCAGCTGCTGCTGGGGCAGCTGGGGCTGGTGACAGCGGATCAGATGCTGGGCATCTGGCGCTACGTGGTGGTGGGGGGCGTCACAGCCGCCGCCGTGCTCACGCCCTCCACGGACCCGCTCACGCAGTGCCTGCTGGCAGGCCCCCTCATCGGCCTCTACATGGGCGGCGCCTACCTTGTCAAGCTGCTCGAGGGCTCCAAGTCCACCGCCTAGCCGCTGCCTCTATACTCGCTAGTGTAGTTAGAGTGCTTCGTTGATTATAGCCTGGTTGTGTCAGAGTTTAGGCTCCTCGAGTCAGGGATCAGCCGCGCCAAACTGCATGCAATGCTGTGAAGTTAGCACTGATCCTGCCACGTGGCCAAGATGACCTAGAAGAATAAATCTGGACTTGAATTGATCAATGGAATCCTGCAACGTAATGGTCTCTTGCGTTACCATATCTCTACACTTGCTCTTGCTTTTCCGCTTTGGAGGTTGCTTCCATCTCAACGGCGTCATAAGTTGTCAGCCCCGTTCCCTTGCCCTCAGCACTGCCATCAGCACCACCTGCACGAGTCACTGCACTCGAGTCAGAGGTGCTGCCAGCCACTTCAAACGCTGCACTGCCCGCAGGGCTGCCCTGGGCGCGGGGGGAGGTGAGGCGCGTGTGGGCGTGGGCACGAGGGCTCATGCTGGTGGCCAGCAGCACGTGCGTGGAGTCCCGGGTGCCACGGGGGGAGAGAGGATATGATTGGGAAGTAGAGGAGGAGGGCGAGGCGGGGTGGTGCAGCAGCTGCAGTTGCTCGGAGGACATGCTCGTGTGGTCAGGGAGGGGTGCATCGCTGAGCGTGTGCACCAGATGACCGTCAGACTCACGTGCCTTGTTGCGCGACAGCCTGCCACACAGCATGCACGCACACACATCGAGCTGCTTGTACCCTCCACAGCTGGCAACACGACTGGCAAGAGCACCTGGAATAGGCACGTGCGCTAGTGGATACCAAGGTATACAGGCAACGACATTGGCATTTAGCACTGGTGGAATCGGGTAGGCAGTCTAAATCGCTTGTGCCTTACTGCTTTGCTGCAATGAGCGTTGGCATCGGTGGCATGTGGAGGGGCATGGCGCTCACTTGTAGAGGTTGAAGAGGGAGACGCCAAGCATGATAATGAGGATGCCCAGCAGGTTGATGTGCGTGAATCGGTCGCCAAACACCATGTGCGACACCTGAGGGCCAGAAGTGGCAGGGGGGCAGAGGAATCGCGGCACACGTGTTAATCAGCATCAGGATGGCAGAAGCACGAGGAGGTGAGAGAGAAAATCATGAGTGGATAAAGTGTTGCTACGTTGCAGTTCCCACCACAACATGCATGCATGGCACTTGTGCACGTGCACCCACCAATGCACCCACCTATGCACCCACCTATGCACCCACCTATGCACCCACCCATGCACCCACCTATGCACCCATCTAAACACCCATCTAAACACCCGTATATGCACCTTCTATGCACCATCTCTGCACAATCTGTGCACCATATGTGCACTGGAGCATTGCCTGAAACAGCTATGCAGTTATAGTCCTCTCCTTCCTTTCTCCCCCCCTCCCCCGTGTGGCTCACGAGGATGGTGGCGGCCTCCTTGACGGTGCCGGCGACAGAGAAGGTGACGGCGCTGGTCTCCAGCACCAGCAGGAACTCCGCCATGATCTGCCACCCACCCCCAGTGCACAGTGCCCCGTGCCCCACACACGCCACCCACGTGGGGCCAGATGGGGGATAGGGCCCGTGGCCGTGGGAGCAGGAGGGGGGGAAGGGCTGTTGAGTGCAGGACAGGGGGTGACAAGGGTGGTGCTACATTCACACATGCACGTACACACACACGTACATGCACACACCCGCAGATGCACACACATATGCACACACGCACACACATGCACACACACATGCACACACAGAGAAACACACACTCACGCACACTCACGCACACACACACAAAATACCACACACGCATGCACACACAAGCATGCACACACCATGCAGAAAGCGAGGATGCCCCCCACGAGCATGATGGCGAGGCTCCAGAGGGCGTGAGGCCACGTGTCAAAGTAGGGCGAGGAGGCGAGGGCGGACCAGGGCTCATGCAGCAGTGAGAAGATGCCACACACGAGTGCCATCACAGGCGCTAGATAGGCCAGCGTGAGCAGCGGGTTGGTGAGACCTGGTGGGGGGAAGGCGCAGAAAGGGGTTGGTGAGAGGTGGGGGGGACAAGGTGGACTGGGAAGGAGTAGTGGCACGGAGGCAACAGGAGGATTCTGGCGTGTGGCAGGGGCAAGCACAGCACACAGGGCATGCACAATTTGAGGTGGGACAGGGAGAAGGGGCATGGCAACGGATGCTTACCAAGTTTATCCCCCTGCCGCCAGTGCAATCGGCAATAGGGGGTGAGGAGATGGTGAGTTGACATTCCATGAATTGAGAATGCACATGTTGGAAACATGCACAGGGAAATAGGACACAAAAGAAGGGGGTGGTCAGTTGATGCGTACATACACAGCAGCACACAGCAGCAGCAAGAGCAGCAGCACACAGCAGTACAGAGCAGCAGCGCACCTGCAGGAGCACTTGCAGCAGCACCCATCTGAGCCCCGACACAAATGCTGCGACCATGACTAGAATGAAGCCCAGAAGCTGAAACTCCGTCTCCCCCCCCACTGCACGCCACCATGGGCACACGGAATGTTGGAAGCACGGAATGTTGGAAGCACGGATCAGGCCTTGCGATGCCAATTGGGGTACAGGGCCTTCTTTGTGATACAAGAGGAACTTTGAGCGTGGTAAGACAAATGAGTAACACCCCTCTAACCCCCACCTCCTCCCCTTCCCTTCCTCCCTCCTTTCCCCCTCGCCCACCCCACCTGTGAAGAGCACACCGATGGAGATGACGAGCATGATGCCCAGCAGCTTGAAGCTTGGCGTCTCCAGCCTTCAAAGGGCATGGCGGGTCGGAGCAAGTGGGGGCCGGAGGGGGGGAAGGGGGCAGAGGTGGGTTAGCGTTGAGAATCAGGGGAATCAAATTGTACTGGCAGTGGTGATGACGACGGGGCGAATTGAACTGTTGTTGGTAACGAGGGTGAAGAAGTGAAATGTGTCAGGTGCGTGGGTACGGAAGTAAATTGCGGTTATGTGTGGTGGATGGCGGTCAAGTATGGTGGAAAGGCGGTCATGTGAGGTGGAAAGGCGGTCATGTGTGGTGGAAAGGCGGTCATGTGTGGTGGAAAGGCGGTCATGTGTGGTGGAAAGGCGGTCATGTGTGGTGGAAAGGCGGTCATGTGTGGTGGAAAGGCGGTCATGTGTGGTGGAAAGGCGGTCATGTGTGGTGGAAAGGCGGTCATGTGTGGTGGAAAGGCGGTCATGTGTGGTGGAAAGGCGGTCATGTGTGGTGGCTCACCGGAAGAGGAAGGCGAAGAGGAGGAGGAAGACAGGTGCGCTGGACTTGCACTGGGAAATGCGCAGGACAGGGGAGAGGGTTAGTCAAGGGGTGATGGTTTATGCCAGTTGTGATGCACGAGTCAATAATTATTCTATATGCATCACAAGATGCTTCATTACACGCAGCTAAGCTAGAATGCCAGACTCTATTTCTTTGTGAAACGGCCACATAAGTGGATAATTTTGTCTAAAATAACTGCAGTGAATGAAGCGGATGAGTTCTGGCATAGTAGAGAGGGGGAAAACGGCCAGGAAGGCGTACCATGGTGTAGAAGGTGAGGGTGATGAGCGCGAGGGAGAGGTTGGAGAGGGCAATGTCAAGCGATGTGGCCACTGCCGTGGGTACCACTGCATGCACGTGGACAGCACAACAGCACACAGCACACCGGTCACAGGCCGACCCACGGTGAATTGTGGACAAGTAAGGACGGGTCAGACAGCCACCTGAAGCACCCTCGATGGACAAGTTTCAGAACGTGCATGAGCCCACAGGCGTGGCCAACCCCCCCCTCTTCCAACATAACCCCCTCCTCTCCTCAAAGAGCTTACCTCGCAGGAAGTAGTCGCGCCAGGAGATGGGCGTGGCGGGCAGCCAGGAGTGGCAGCAGCAGCGCAGCAGCAGCGAGGCGACCCCGCCCTGCAGCAGGAAGTGGAAGGTGGTCATCAGCAGCGGCGCAGGGAAGCGCCCGTGCTTCTCACCGATCAGCACCTTGTTGTACCTGCCCACGCACGCACCCCCGACCGCCCCGCCCGTGCAGAGTGCATGGCATGGCGGGAGTGTATGGCATGGCGGGAGTGTATGGCATCGCGGGAGTGCATGGCATGGCGGGAGTGCATGGGTACAGTTAAGAGGAAGGTTGCTGACAAGGGACGATAAGGCCAAAAGGGACCGAATTGGCAGAGGCGCCAGCCCAGGGAGAAAATGATCGGCCAGAAAGAGCAACAGATACCTGGCATGATTACAGCGAGAGCGTTATGCTTACAGCGAGAGCGCCACGCTTACAGGGAAAGCGCCATGCTGAAGGTGTACCAGAGCAGCACGAGCAGCAGCACCTTAACCACCGACCACAGCCACGGCTCGCACCATGGCGACGCGCGCCCACCAAACGCCGATGCTGACTCAGCAAGATCATCCTCCAGCTCGTCCGCCGGCACGATAACGTCTTCGCCATTCGCTATAAGCCGACTCGATTCCGCCTTTGGCGACGCGGCCGTGATCGAGTCGGCCTGGATGGCATCGCTTGTGGCAAAGCGCGGCGATGGCAGCTCTCGGCTCTCATTGGTCGACATGATGGCGAACAGGAACAGCTACGAGGTGAGATTCATCATTGCGCGAATGAATTCTCGTGGCAAGAAGGCGTGGAGCTTCGATCATAAGCTTCAGCGCGAATAGATGGACGAACGCGACTCAGTGTGGGACACAGGGTCGCCAGATCGCAGAATTGCTGCGCGTGGAGCTTCCTTCCACAGCGAGATCGACCCGCGCGGCGAGCGACTGCACGCGCTAGTCGCTCAAATTGCGGCGCCACTCCATAGGACGCCGTGACGGAAGCAGGAGAGTGACAGCGCGAGCAGTGCGATGAAGGATGGCGGTGGGCAGTGGGTATGTGCCGCGCACTGCTCTGCTTCAACGGATTCCAAGGTTGGTCTGTCAGGCGACCCCAACAGCGAGGCAAACCAATTGGAACAACGAGCAGAACTAGACCTTGGCTTTCTTCCTTCCCTTGGAAGTAGATTCGCCAAGGAGAGACTCGAAACGCTGTGGGTGGCTGGTTCGTTATTCGCTGTGCTTGTGTCAGATGTTATATTCCAAGATGTGATGACCCTTCCAAATCTCGCGAAAAAGAATGTTATCTCGTCGCAACCCTTGCTGCCACTCGCAGCCCAGAAGCATCTTGAACCTGCCAGACCAAAACTTCGTTACTGCCGGGAATCAGCTTACTGAGCGTCTCGGTTCTGGGTCGAGACAGAATGTAATATATCGGTACTTACAAATATACAGCCGCATCTTGATAGGGTGCGGAGCAGAACCTGAATTGATCGAAAGAATCCTGCAATGCAAAAAGTTCTTGCATAACCACATCACTCCACACTTGTGCTTGCTTTGCTTTGGACATTGCTTGCTTCCATCTCAACGGCATCACAGCAGGTTGCCAGCCCTGTTCTCTTGCCATCAGCACAACCTGCACAAGTCACCGCACTCGATCAGGGGAGCTGCCCGCCATTTCAAACGCTGCACTGCCCGCGGGGCTGCCCTGGGCGCGGGGGGAAGTGAAGCGCGTGTGGGCGTGGGCACGAGGGCTCATGCTGGTGGCCAGCAGCACGTGCGTGGAGTCCCGGGTGTCACGGAAAAAGAGCGGATACGCTGGGGGGGTGGACGAGTAGAGCGAGGTTGGGTGGTGCATCAGCTAAAGTTGCTCCGACGGCATGCCCTGGTGGGCAAGGAGGGGCTCGTCGCTGATCGTGCGCACCCGATGGCCCTCAGAATCACGTGCCTTGTTGCGAGACAGCCTGCCACACAGCATGCACGCACACGCACGCACGCCCCCCCCCCCCCCCCCACACACACAGACATGCGCACACACACACACACACACACACACACACGCACGCACGCACGCACGCACGCACCCACACACACACGCACCCACACACACACGCACGCACGCAAGCACCCACACACACACACACACGCACACACGCACACACACACACACACACACACACACACACCGCTTTGTACCCTCCACAGCTGCCAACACAAAACACAGCCATGGCCACAGCGGCTGGCATATGCACAGGTGCTGGTGTACACCCAGATGTGCCGGCAGCTAGACTTGCATTCTGAAGCGGTGGAGTCAGATATTGCCTGTGTGTTGTTGCACTGTGCCTTGCTGCGCTGTGTGTTGGCGTGCAGTGGTGCAGAAGAGACATTGCGCTCACTTGTAGAGGTTGAAGAGGGAGACGCCGATCATGATGATGAGAATGCCGAGCAGTTTGAGGCGCGTGAAGGGGTCCCCAAACACCATGTGCGACACCTGAGGGCCCACAAATTAAGGAAGGGGGCGACGCAAGCACAGAGAAACAGGCATGGTGGCACACATGAGTGGTTCGGCATCAGGTTGGCAGGCACATACGGAGGAGAGAGCAATGCGCTTCAAATACTTAGGCAGAAACAAAAGGATGAAGAGCCCTTACGTCGCACTTTCCCACCACAGCATGCATGCATGGATACATGTGCAAGTGCACCCACCCATGCTGTTATGCCCCCATATATGCACCAGATGCGCACCACTTGTGCACTGGAGCATTGCCTGAAACACCCATGCGATGAACATCTCTCATTCCTTTCTTTTTCCCATTCTCACCCTCATCATTACTCTCCCCCCCTCCCCCGTGTGGCTCACGAGGATGGTGGCGGCCTCCTTGACGGTGCCGGCGACAGAGAAGGTGACGGCGCTGGTCTCCAGCACCAGCAGGAACTCCGCCATGATCTGCCACCCACCCCCAGTGCACAGTGCCCCGTGCCCCGTGGCCAGGGTGGGCGTGGAGGCAGGGAGGGGAGGGGAAGGGCTGGTGGGTGTGGGGGTGGGGGTGACAAGGGTAGTGCTACATGCACACACACACACAAACACGCCTGCACCGACACATGTGCGCGCGCGCGCGCACACACAAACCATGCAGAAGGCGAGGACACCCCCTAGCGGCATGATGGCGAGGCTCCAGAGGGCGTGAGGCCACGTGTCAAAGTAGGGCGAGGAGGCGAGGGCGGACCAGGGCTCGTGCAGCAGCGAGAAGATGCTGCACACGAGCGCCATCACAGGCGCTAGATACTCCAGAGTGAGCAGTGGGTTGGTGAGACCTGGTGAGGGGAGGGCGTGAGATGCAGTTGGTGGGAGTCGAGGGACACTAGTAGGACTGCGAGAAAGATAGTGGCATGGCAGGAAAGAGGAGGATTCTGTTGTGAGGCCAGAGCAAGCGCAGCACACAGGCACTGTGGGCCTGCACCCGGCAATCTGGGTGAGTCAAGAGGAAGGGGCACGGCGATAGATGCTTACCAAGTGTGTAACCCTGTCACCAGTTGAAGTGGCAACGCGGGTGGAGAGATGGTGAGTTGATGTTCCATGCAGAAATATACACATGTTGTGAACGTAAGGGGTAAACAGGAGACGAAAAGAAGAGGGTTGGTCAGTTGATGCAGCAGCACACACAGCAGCACATCAGAACACGGCAGCACTCAGCAGCGCACAGCAGTGGCGCACCTGCAGGAGCACTTGCAGCAGCACCCATCGGAGACCCGCCATGAACGCGGCCGACATGACGAGGATGAACCCCAGCAGCTGAAACTCCGTCTCCCCCGCCACTGCTCGCACGCCACTCGTGGGCACAGGGAGGGTTGGAAGGGCGGATCAGATTTTGTGATGCCAACTCAGGTGGAGCGATTGGAAATAGTAGTGATAAATGGAGAATTGAAGCATGGTAGAAAAACGTTGGATGATCATCGCATTACCCTCCCAGTTCCGTCCCCTTCCCGTCCACCCTCCTCCCCCCCTCTCCCACCTGTGAAGAGCACACCAACAGAGATGATGAGCATGATGCCCAGCAGCTTAAAGCTTGGCGTCTCCAGCCTTTCAACGGGCACGGGGGGGTGGAGGCGTGGGGGAGAGAAAGGGGGGAAGGGAGGAAGAGGAGGGCTAGTGTTGTGAACTAGGGGAGTGAGATTGCTACGGGCAACGGTGATGACGGCCGGAAAAACTGAACTGTTGGTGGTAAGGAGGGTGAAGAAGACAAGTGCGTCAACTGTGTGGGCAGTGGGCACAGCAGTAGATGGCAGCCATGTGTCGCGGATGGCGGTCACGGTGTGGTGGATATCAGTCATGTGTGGGCTCACCGGAAAAGGAAGGCGAAGAGGAGGAGGAAAACACCTGCACTGGATTTGCACTGCGACATGCGGAGGCAGGGTAGGGGATAAAGTGCACGAGAGAGAGAGGTTTTATGCCACTTGTTGTGATGCACGAGTCAATTATTCTACTCTATGCATCACAAAAAGCTGTGTGGAGCGCACCCAAGATGGAGTGCCAGGCTGGGCTTTTTCTGAAACGGCCACGCAAGCGGATCATTTTGACCAAGAAGATTGCAGTGAATGAAACGGATGAGATGTGGCAGAGTGAGGAGGGGGAAAGAGGTCGGGAAGGAGTACCATGATGTAGAATGTGAGGGTGACGAACGCGAGGGAGAGGTTGGAGAGGGCAATGTCAAGCGATGTGGCCACTGCCGTGGGTACCACTGCATGCACGTGGACGGCACAACAGCACACAGCACACGGGTCACAGGCCCACACACGTTTAAACACGTAGAAATTGATGGGACAGTCGCGTGAAACAGCCTCAGGGGTCACGTTGCAGGACGTGCATGAGCTCCTGAGCGTGCCCATCCCCATTCCCTCCACCCACACGGCATACCTCGCAGGAAGTAGTCGCGCCAGGAGATGGGCGTGGCGGGCAGCCAGGAGTGGCAGCAGCAGCGCAGCAGCAGCGAGGCGATGCCGCCCTGCACGAGAAAGTGGACTGTGGTCATGAGCAGCGGCGCTGGGAATCGCCCGTGCTTCTCACTGATCAGCGCCTTGTTGTACCTGCCCACCCACCACCACCACCCCGCCCGAGCGAACATGCATGGCATGGCGAGAGTGCATTGCATAGCGGGAGTGCACGGGTACAGAAGGGGGCAATAAGTTGGTTACAAGGGCACATAAGGGCGAAAGGGCCCGGCGGATGGCGAGCCCAGTGAGGAAATCGTTCACGTACTGGGAGGGTGGCAACACAGGGAGGGGTGGCTACACAGGAAAAGCGGCATGCTCACAGGGAAAGCGCCGTGCTGAAGATCTGCCAGACCAGCACGAGCAGCAGCACCTTAACCACCGACCACAGCCACGGCTCGCACCATGGCGACGCGCGCCCACCACATGCGGATGCTGACTCAGCAGAGTCATCCTCTAGCTCGTCCGCCGGCACGATAACGTCTTCTCCATTCGCTATAAGCCGACTCGATTCGGCGCTTGGCGAGACGGTTATGATTGATTTGTCCTGGATGGCATCGCTTGTGGCAATCCGCGGCGACAGCAGCGCTTGGCTCTCATTGGTCGACATGATGGCGAACGAACAGCTACGATGGCTAACCCGAAACTCTACGCGAATGAATTCTCGTGGCAAGGAGGCGTGGAGGTTCGATCATAAGCTTCAGCGCGAAGAGATGGACGAACGCGACTCAGTGTGGGACACGGGGTCGCCAGATCGCAGATTTGCTGCGCGTGGAGCTTCCTTCCACAGCGAGATCGACCCGCGCAGCGAGCGACTGCACGCGCTAGTCGCTCAAATTGCGGCGCCACTCCATAGGACGCCGTGACGGAAGCAGGAGAGTGGCAGCGCGGGCAGTGCGATGAAGGATGGCACGCGACACGCGACCCCAACAGCGATGAGCAGAACCAGCCTACTCCCTTCGCTTAGTATTCGCTAAGGACTGACTCGACACGGTGTTCCTGATTCGCTGTGCTTGTGTCAGCTGTTATTTTACAGAAAGCGATGACGACCCTTTGAATTTTGCAAAACAAATGTATCCTGTCGCAAGAGTCGCTGTCGCCACCCCCAGTCCACACCCCTCCCCAAACCCGCTAGCCCCAAAACCTTCAAAACTGTCAGAACTCAGCTTTCTTAGCATCTGGGTTCTAGGTCGAGACAGTCTAGTACACAAAAGAACGGCCGCATATTGCCTAGAGTGCGGAACCTGCCATCCAACATGGCGGGAACAGCGCTGTCGCGGCAGCTGCAGCAAATCGCCCTCGCGACGGGCCCTACTGCAGCTGATGTCGTCACCAAATCGAGCGGCAAACGGGGGGCGCACATTAGGCCGTCCCTCATTTTCGAGGCAAAGGAAGCCGCTGACGTGGACGCGGAAACCATTCTACACATGGCGCAAGCAGGTTGGCGCGAAATCGTTGTATCTTTTGTAGTCTCGCGGGCCCCAAGATCTCGATGCCCGTGTTCTACACGGACACGACACGGCTGTCCTCGCGGCTCCTAACCCCGTACTTCTCTATCGCACCACTATCCTTTACCCGCCCGCCCAACGCACTCACCGTGCGCGCGTGCAGGTCTGGCGGAGCTGGTGGCGATGGATGCGCGCTTCAAGCCGTTTCTCAGCACGCTCTTCTCGCCCGCCAGCCTGCACACGGATCGCGACGACGAGCCGCCCGACGTGGTGGCGGCGCTGGACCGTTCGATCGACGCGTTCCTCATGCTGCTCTCCGACGCGCTGCTGCTGCCCGCCAGCCACAAGGCGCTCGAATACCTCATCCGCAAGTACCGGTGCGCGCACCAACGCTCCCTGATTTTCCCGGATTGAGCTCCTTTCATCTTGTAAGCACACCTCTGACTTCTCCGCTTCACCCCCTCGCTCCCACATTCTTCCTTTCCTTTCTCGTCACCCTTTCCCCGCTCCGCCCGTCCCGCACACCGGCTCCCCTTTCTGGTGTGGGTACGCGCAGGGTGCAGCAGTGCAACGTGGACTCGCTGGTGCTGGCGGCGCTGCCGTACCACGAGACGAGCCTCTTCGTGCGCATCGTGCAGCTGCTCTCCCTCAAGTAAGCCGCATCACGCCCGCTGCTCTCGTGCTCCTCGAATTCACAGACGCAGCCAATGCCGTCAGGAATGGCAGGGCCACAGATGATTAGCTCGCACGAATGCTCGTTCGCTTCGCTCCTGCATGAACGTGGCAGCAGCCAGTAATAACAGCTGCTTCCCCCACAACGCCCGCCCCCGTTTTTCCGTTGCGCCAGGCACTCCAAGTGGGCGCCAGTGCTGCACGGCTGCAAGGCCAACGGCACGGCAATCCCGAGGGCGCAGCTCGTGCAGAGATGCGTCAAGGATGACTCCTTCTTCCACGCCATGTGCCATGCGGTATGCCTCCTCATGCCATGTGCCATGCGGTATGCCTCCTCATGCCATGTGCCATGCGGTATGCCTCCTCATGCCATGTGCCATGCGGTATGCCTCCTCATGCCATGTGCCATGCGTTATGCCTCCTCCCATGCCATGTACCAAGCGGTGTGACTCCCCATGTGCTTGCTGCTGCTTTCACTCCCTTATGCTCAACCCCTGCCTGTTTTCTCCTCACACTCCTCGCAATCACCCTACCCTATCACTCTCACCTTCTTCATCTCAATGCCGAATCTCTTCCATCGCCCCTGTCAGGCGGAGAAGGCGGCCACCTGCATGGTCCGGGACGGCCCTCCATCAGCATCTCCCCCCACGGCACCTGCACCACCCGCCATGCGTCTGCTGACCTTCACGAGCGTGCTGCTGCTGGAGGCGCTGGCGGGGATGCGCGTGTCGGTGGACGCGCTCTCCCACCTGCTGCCTTTCATCCTCAACGGCCTGCAGCCCTCCGCCCTGCACGAACACAGGGTACTTCCTGCCGCTTCTGTCCCCCCTCACTGTGCACCTCCTCGCCTCACCATGCCATGCTACTCCCAACCCAGCGTGCCAAGTCTCGTGCACCAGCTCAGCGAATCAATCCATTCCTCTCCTCCGTGTGACTTCCTACCCCGCTGCCCGCCCATCACCTTCCCCCCCTCTCCCCACTCAGCTGGCAGCCATGATGCTGGTGTCGCAGCTGGCCAACCGCTCGCAGCTCTCCACGCAGGTCGTCAACTCCCTCCTCGTCGCCCTCCTCTCCCCCACCCCTGCCGCTGCACCCACTGCGCGCGGCGCGAGGGCACCGCCGGCCGCCATCTCCATGGACGCCTTCCTCGTGGTCATCCACCTCACTGCCGTGAGTGCCCTGCCCTCGCATCACATCTCCCATCGCCTCTCCTGCCCCTCTCATCCCGTCGGAGCTCTTGTCTGAGTCTGCTCGACTTGAACAGCAACCTCATTTGTGTAGCCTAACGTGCAAATGGCTCCGTCTGCTTGTCTCTTCCTCTGTTCTTCTGTGTGTCTCTGACAGACGCAACGGGTCCTGTCCCTCCCATCCAGGGCAGTCACCAACATTCTCACTGACAAGTACGTCCTATCCAATGGCACGAGTGTAATGCCATGCGTGGAATGGAATGGGATGAAATGAAGTGCCAGGCATGGGAAGGAGGGATGATGATGGGGTCATCATTGCAGTGGGTGGATCAGATGGGCTGGGTTGGTTCAAATTGGATGGGCTTGCATGGGTTCGCACGGATTGGTTCCCCCTCTTTTCTTGCAGTGACCGCTTCCTGTACTCCCCCGATATCATGTGCTGTGCCAACTCCACCCCTGTCTGCCCCCTTGGCTCATGCTGTGGCCCACTATGCTCCGGCCAAGTGCCCTCCATCCTTCCTTAGAAACCACTCTCCCTCCCTGTGCCTCCTCAACGCCCATGGGTACGCTGCAGGCACTTTGTGGACGTGCTGAGCGCGGCGGCACACAAGTTCAACACGGCCAAGATTCTCCACCTTCTTGTTGACGCGCTGCTGCCCAAGATGTATGCGTGACAGTGATGTGTGCATGCCAGTCGTGCCAGTGATGTATGCATACTAGTGACGTATGCATGTAGTGATGTATCCATGCCGGTGATGCATCTATGCTGCCAAATCTCGTCCCTCACGTGCGTATCTCCCTTCTCTTCCCTCCCTGGTGCCCCCCGAACGGCACAGTGCAACATCCCAGCCAGCGGCGGATGTGCTGCTGGCCATGCTGCGCCAGCTGCCGCGTGCAGCACTCTCCCCGCTTGTGCCTCGCCTCGCCCTCTCGCTGCTGCGCTTCGCCATCGGCAAGGGCCTGCCACAGGGGGCCCCTGTGGTGCTCTCCTCCCTGCGTCAGTTTCACACCTCCAACTCAACTGCTCCTGTTCTCCTTCTGCCATTCTGCATTCCTCTGCTCTGACTTCTGTGCATAGTCTTGTACCAATTAAACATCCATCTCCCCCATCACTCGACTCGAATCCCCACTCCCCCCATTGGAAATCGAATTCGACGTTCCCATTGCCATGCCATCCCGTTCTGCCCTCTGCACTTCCCGAACCGAAACCTCTGTCAGAACCTCGCATACAGCCGCTACTGCTGGCCCTCTCTCTCAAGTTCACCTCACCGACTGATGCTGCCATCACTGCAGTTTTGGAGGTAGGCAGGCCGCAGGCTGCTATGCAGATTTTGAGTCACCTGAATCTTTGGAGTTATCGACTTCAACTCTCAAGTCATTCCTTCCTTCCCCTCCAACTTTCATCCTCTCCTTCCCCACTCCTTTGCCTCCATTTTTTTCTCTTCAAGGCATCTCTGTCCCTTGCCCCCTACTCTATCTTTCAATTTTCGCCTTCACTGCCTCGCCTTCCATATCCTGTCCACCCCCTCCCCAACCAGTCACTCGCATCCGCTCCTGCCGAGCGCGCCACGCTGGTGTCCTTCCTGGGCACGGCCCTCTCTGCCAGCCCCTGTGCGCTGCAGCAAGTCGATGCCTCTCCTTCTGTCACGGGGACAGGCGTGCAGCAGCAGCAACAGAAGCAGCAGCAGCAGCAGCAGCAGTTGTTGTCAGTCCATTTGGCGATTGATCATGCGCAAGTGAGTGCAGTTGACCATGTGTAAGCGGCACATGAGGCACTCAGCATCTCCTCATCTTTCATCACGATTCACTTTTCCCTCCGTGCTTCCCTCCACCCATGTGGTACCTGTCCCTCCTGGGTGCGCGTGGCAGTGGCAAGTGCGGAAGGCAGCAGTGGAGCAGCTGCCAGGGCTCATGGCGGCAGCAGGGAAGCACATGGACACGGACGACGTGGCTCAAGGCGAGGTGGGTGCTGCTGGGTCCAGGGAAGGCAGTGGGCGTGTGAGGAAAGGTGTGAGCAGATTGGGTTGATTATGTGGTGGTTGGGAAGTTTTTGGCAATCGTATCCATCTGATGTCTTTCCACGCGCATCTCTTTCCCCTCTTCAGATGCTTCACCATCCATCATTCGCTTACACTGCTTCCGTGCACTGGTCTCCTCCCTTCCTGTCTCTGTCCCATCTCAGGTGCAGTCATTTGTGTCATCTGCCCTGCAGCGTCGACTGGCAGATGACAGCTGGGAAGTGCTGCACGCTGCTGTCACCTCTCCGCTCCTCCCACGTGCCCTTTCTGCATCTCTCCTCTTCGCCCCTCTCAAAGCCATTCTCCTCCGCCCCGTGCCGCCTACCACCGAGCCGCTGTCTGCTCACATCAAGGGTATGTAAGGCACAGAAGGGGCTGCTGCTCAATTACTCACTCTACGTTCCAAAGTCCAACCCACTGCCGCATAACACACATGGCCTCACTTGTCCCCATCTGCCCTCATGTGCCCCACATGGCGCCATCCCATGTGCTCCTGTGTGCGCCATGTGCCCATTCACAGAGTGTCAGAGCACCGCCCTTCACCTCCTGCGCACGGCTGTCATGGGGCCAGCGCTCAAAACACATCCGGGGGAAGGCGAGGGGCAGGGGAGCGAGGTGAAGGAGGAAGGGGGAGCGAGAGGTTTGGTGCAGGGGGTGGCGGAGGAGGTGATGCCACATGTGCTGCTGTCTGCTCTCATGCCCTCTCAGGTGACAATCCCCTTCCGCTGCCACAATCCGCTCTCTCTCTCCCCCCCTGCCATGCAACTCATGTTCTCTGCTTCTGTACTTAACGCCTTCCAACCTGACACCTTCTCACCCATCACTCCCTCGTCCTCCCTGTCATCCCCACCCCTCTGTGCAGCCCTACTGCCCTTCCAGTCCCCTCGCCAACCCCCAGATGCTGCACGAGGCTCTTCTCATGGCACAGCAGCTCGCTCCTCACTTCCCCCTCTTCCTCCACCTCCCCTCCCCTTCACTCGCTTCCCTCTCCTTGCCCTCTTTCTCCGCCTCCGATGCCCTCTCTCTCGTAACCTTCGCCCTTGCTGTTGCCATCACACCACCTTCCCTCTGTTCCGCACAACGACCTGCCTCAAAAGACATGTGGCGCACTGCCATTCGCTTCAGCTGCTCTGCTTTTGCTTCATCCTCTGCTGCTGGGCGACAGCTGTTGCTGCTTGCACTTCTTGGGGCGGCACACAGCCTCCCTGCCACGTCAGCCTCGCTGGAATCAGCGCTGCAGTCACGTGGCAATGTTAGCGTGGCAGGGAGCACGGAGCTCCAAGCAGCAAAGGAAGCAGGAGTTATGGATTTTGCGGAGGAGGCAGTGGGGCTGGTGCAGGATGCGTGGAAGAGAGTGGAGGCGCAGGCAGTGCAGGGGAGTGGAGGGGAGGGGGAGAAGCGACGGAAGGGTGCAGCCTCTGTCCACCTGGATGTGCTGCTCTCCTCTCTTGCTCAGGTGCTGCCTTTGGCTTTTCAGTCTGACCATTCACTCACCCCTATTTGCCGTTTCCTGTTTTCTGGCCTGGATTGAAATTCACTCTTCCAATTTCTCCTTCCCTCCTGCCCGCAGGCCGCGTTCTCAGCAGCTCCGGACGTGCACGCCAAGATCTTCACGCTGCTCTCCACACTCCCCGCCTCCTCCGTCGACTCCCTCAGCCTCTCAGCCGACCTTACCATCTCATGCCTCTCATCCCTTCTGAGGAAGCTTCCAGGAGCCACCCAGATAAGTAATAGTGTGTCAGGACGCGTGTTTGAGCTGTTGATGGGCACATCAAGTCCCAAGGCAGCTGCTCTGGCGGCAGCACGCATTGTCGGTGCAGTGCAAGGAAGGGCAAAGATGCAGGGTGGAAAGAGCGATGGTGAGGGAGGCGGGCGAGTGGAGTTTCAAGAGGCCATGTTGCAGGCCGCCGTGAGGGACATGGGTCTGCATGCAGGGGATACGGCAGGAGGGGAAGAGGGCAGCACCGGTCAGCAAGGCATAGCTTCTCTGCTGCAGCTGCTGCTTGCACGATTCGCCACCCGAGCCTCCCTCCTCACCTTCCTGGACCCATTCCTCCTGCCGTCCTCCTCGGGCTTGTCTCACTCACCCTCCCTCCAACTAGCAGCGCTCTCCCTCCTCCCTGCTGTAGCTGCTACTGCAGTGCCAGGGGACGCCAAGGCCAATGAGGAGCTGCCACATGTGCTTGTGGGAGTGCTGTTGCGCCTTATGGTGGCGGTGCAGAGCCCTCACAAGGTGAGACTGAAGCCGTGGGGCGTGGAAGCTCAAGCTCCACTATTGTTGCTTTTTACTTGATGTTTAGATGTTGTGCTCCTCGCTTTTCTTCATAATTGTGAGCAGGCATCTCAGACCCATTTTTTCGCCCCCATTACGATTCCTTCCTTGCTGTTGTGAGCTTCAGTCTGTTCGCAAGGCAACTCTGCACGCGTTCGCGACCCTCACGCAGACGACCGCCACTCTCCCAAGTTCCAATTCCAACCTGCCCTCTCCCTCCTCTCTTTCGCTCCTTGCATCTGCTTTCTCATCCGCCAAAGATGCTCTCCTCTCGGACCCCTCCCTACCACTTGCCCTCTCCTCCTCCTCCACTGTTGCCCTCTCCCCCGCCTTCACATCCGCTGCATCCTCCACCTCCATTCCTTCCAAGCCCGGCCAAGCTGCTGCTGTGCTCATTCGTCTGCTGGATCCCTCGTGTGCTGGGTCCACTGGCTCCAGGTAAACGAATCAATCTCTTTTCATCGCGTGTTGTTGTCGCATGCCATTCATGTCTGGTTGTGCTGCGTGTCGTCGTCTGCTTCTCGTAACTGGTGTGGCAGCGCTTTTTTAGGCTTGGGTGGCTTCAAGATCTGTTTCCTTCCGCATGCCTGTCTGTTTGCCATGGCAGCTTGACTCCCTCTGACCGTACTGTCACGCTCTCAGCTCTCTTCAACGCTGCCATCAGCCTTCCCCCATGGCCTCAGGTATCACACCTTCCTCTTGGACACACCACCGCAACCATCACAAACACGTTAACATGTTTGGCGTTGTGCTATGTCTCCTTTTCTCACCCGCCCGTCCTTTACTTGGTGACTGTTTCTTGCACGTGGCATTGGACTGATCTTTCTGTTGCCCACCGTCTTGCAGGCCCTTGCTCTCCACATGCTCGCATCAATTCCAGCAGCCACTGCTCTCCTCCCGCTGGGCCAACTGCTGCCTCGCCTGCACGAGCTGCTCTCCCGCCGCCTGCACTGCCACCTGCAGCAGGCGCAACGCGCTGCTGGGCTGCCACTGCCACACAAGCCAGCATCAGTGGACGGAGCAGCACGGTCGGAGGGGAGGCTGGAACTGGATGAAGTGCACCTGCTGGCTGTGGGCTTGCAGGTACGCCTGTGAATGGACTTCCCTTGACTTGACCTGAGTTCTTACGTCAAGCATACGCAATGGGGTCTGGTGTGTACCATGCACGCAAGTGCCTCGACGTTGCACCTTGTGACTTTTGGGCTTGGGCCTCCATGAGGCTGCTGGCATGCGCTTGTTCATTCTCAGCTTCCCTCTCTCCCACTGCACCTTGCAGCTTGTAGCTGCGGCCGCATCAGGAGGTGGGCAGGAAGGGGCTCAGGCAGAAGCAGATGTGGACGAGGAGATGAGGGAGGAGGGAGGCGAAGGAGAGGAGAGTGCGAAAGATGGGGAGGAGAAAGCGCAGCACACAGCAGGGAAAGGAGTTTCTGCTGTTGACGTTGCACCTCTGCTGTTCATGGCAATGCAGGTACAGTATAGCAGGTGTGTGGCAGTGCACGGGACAATGGAGATGGGGAAGGTGTGAATGTGCAGGTGAGGTTCAGATCTGGTGATGAAGGGCCTGCCAGGTGGAAGGCAATGCAGGCTGGCAATGTGGGTGCAGGGAACCAGCATGTGCTGCTGACGTGCTCACTTCCGCTGCTCCCACTCTCTTCTCCTTCAGGTTCAGGGTGCCATATCAGCTGATGACGTGGCAGTGGAAGCCCCAGCTATCACGGCAGCAGGTGTGGTCACAAACGACTTCTTGGAGGCACTGCCAGATAACCACCAGGTGAGCCGAGCTTGAAGTTGTTCTGTCATCCGTTTTTCTCCTTCCATACTTTCAGCAACAACATCATCAACCACTCGTCTCCTTGCTGTGCTGCATTCCACTCCCTCCCTCGAACCTGTGCCGCTTCACCTCGTCCTCCTCAGGATGGGCTTGTGGCGAGTCTGCTCTTCCTCATGGCAGCATCTGAGGCCTCGCCTGCAGCGCGCCAGGCAGCCAAGGAGGCACTCCGGCGCCTCAAGGTGTGCTGCTGCTGGGGGCTCTTGTCACACATATATGCCCATGCACGACATGCACCTGCCACTGGGTGTTTAGTATGAGGTGGATGCAGCCTCGTTTCTCCATGTGGTTAATTCCGTCGGGCCAACTGCTTTTACTGTTGAATTGAGTTCAAAACTCACACTATCACACGGATATTCCCTCCTCCCCTTTCCACTCCGTTCCCCCTCTCAGCTGAGCCCAACCACGCTTGCGCGCCTCATCACGGCCCTCTTCTCTCCACCATCGGTGTCTCACGGCGCCCCTCAGGCAACCAGCTCCAACAAGCCAGACTTGGGTGCCCATGTGCCACTGTCTGACTTGCTGCCAGTGGAACGACGTGTGGCTGTCGCAACTGGTCTGCTGGAGATGCTGCTATGGAAGGAGGACGTCACAGCACAGCAGACGTGAGTTGGTGACGTCGCAGCACAGAAGATTTGGGTTGATGACGTCACACCACACTTGCAAGTAGCCCTGCAGTGTTGCGCATTATGCCTGCCATCCGACTATGATCCAACCATCGTAAAATATCACATGTTTGTCATTCCCTCCTCCCTTGCCCCATGCCCTTTACGTTGTGCCCATTCCCCAGCATCCAGCTGTTCCCGTCGCTAGCTACGGCCATTAGCTCTGTCCTCTCCCACCGCTGGCCGATGCTACCGGCACCCAACTCCAATGATGCAGAGGAAGATGGGGAAGAGAAGGGAGGGCATCAGGCAGAGGATGGAGAGGGTGATGTGGCAGGGAGTGAGGTTGCAATGAGCGCCCAGATGCTGGGAGCCGTTGAATTTGTGCTGCAGCTGGTGCTGACGGTTGCGCGCAACGCCCTCTCCTCACACACACACGTGCAGGAGGGACAGGACGAGGAAATGGAAAGTGAGGGGGAGGAGGATGAAGAGGGCATGGAGCATGGGGAGGAGGAGTGTGTGGTGCACATGGTGGGGGCGGCAGTGGAGGTGGTGAAGGGGCGGAGGGACCCTGCCACTGCAAGTGCAGCCATAGCAGTGCTGGCAGCTGCAGCGGAGAGGCAGCCAGAGGAGGTGGTGGAGCATGTGGTGACGGTGCTCTCTGTTGCCACCACAACCACCCTCGCCCTCGTGCGTTCCTCCCCTGCACCTTCACTCACTTGCTCATCCTTGTTGTTCCCGTCAGCAGGCCTTGCTGCCTTTTGTTCCCCTTTTCTTGGCGCTCCTCTTTTTTGCTCTTTAACTGTGTGTGCTTTGGTGCCTGAGCGGATGTGCCTGTGTCTCCACTCTGGGCCCATCTCGCGTTTCCCATCCCATCAGGACATTCGGGAGTCGCACGACGCCATCCACCGGCTAGTGGAGGCAGTGCTTCCTGCATGGCTGCACCACAACCAAGACGTCACTCCCCTCCTTCAGGTGAATGCCGATCGCATCCTCCCGCAATAGGTAAGTTCAGATGTCACTTCTGGCTGGAGGCGATTGCAGATGTCACTTTCCTGCTTGACGTGAACACAGGTGTCACTCCGCTGTCGCTGGTATCTTTCATTAGAGGTCCGCCCCTCAAGTTCAGCCAATATCAGTTGCCTGTACCACTTGAAGCCCCTTCGGTCTGTGCCTTCACTCCACCAGCTTGGGCATATCCACTTCACCCTCGTTTCGCCCCCAATCCACACCACCCCCTCCCTGTGCCCCTTCAGATGGTCGTGTCATCCCTGCCCTCCATGCTTCATCACCACCGCATCGCCCTCCTCTCTGCTCTCCTCAGGTGTCTTCATCGCTTTCCACCCCCAGTCATCTCCTCACTTCATTTACTTGCTCAATCCTTTTTCTCCCCCATTCGTCTTCTTGCTGAGTCACTATTTTTGCCCAAACTTCTTGCTGCTTTTTACCTGTTGCACTTCCCAACACCCCAACCTCTCCCCTCCCTCTTGCTACCACAGAGGTGTCTCTCCATCGTTGGGCCTAGCTCCGCTTCTGCTGCTGCTGCTAACCACCACAGGCGTCACACCCTCTCTTCTCACAGCACGAGCCGACAGTTCCAAAGATACCAATCGCTCTGCGCGGGCGCGCAGGCAGGCAGCTCTGCAGCAGCAGGCATACTGGAGGCGGCGGGGGGACAGCACAGGCGATGAGAAGCAAGGCGAGTGGGGGCTCAGCCTGGCATTTGAGCTCTGTTCGCAGGTTCCAGGAAGCATCCGACTGGAGGCGTATGTGAAGCTCTTGGAAGCCACATGCCCTCCAATCATAGCGCGACGGAAGACGAGTGCAGCAGCAGAGGAGGCGTTTGATTGGTGGAGTGGGACATGTCCGGATGATGATGTGGTTGTGGTGAGCTTTGTGGGTGCAGAGTTGCCGGCTGCAGTGGCAGCTATGGAGGAGGATTTGGGGATTGAGGGAGGGGCGGGTGCAGCAGAGGGTGCAGAGGAAGGGCTCAACAATGAGGCTGACGCTGCAATGGTTGACGGCATAGCCCGTGACACCCAACACCGACAGATCTTCGTGTCTCTCTTAGAGCATGTGGTTCTTCGCCTCCGTGCCACTGCTGCCGCTGCTGCTGCTGCTGCCACTGCTGCTGTGGCCTCTCCCATCGCCGCCCCATCTTATCCTCCTACTCTCAAGAACAAGGCGGACTTGGTGGCTTCAGCAGCATATGAGCTGCTGCAGACTCTGGATGCCGTCACCCCCAGTGGTGTGTTCCTCCAGGCTGTTCAGACGCTACTGACCAACCCCAGCACACACATTCGACGCAAGGTACGGCCCTCTTAGTGTTTCGCACACAGACTTCGACCACCCCCATGTTCCACAGCATTCAATGGCCATTGGCCCAGACTGCATGTACACCACACGGGCAATGCTTTCCCTTGGCATTTCTACCCCTGCCTTTCTGCTCCCCTCTCTTTTCGCAGGTTCTTCGGCTGCTTGCTGCCCGAGTGCGGGCCTCCGTGTCCCACACTCTCATGCCGCATGGCCGCGGCAAGGGTAGGAGCAAGCAGCGGTTGGCGCAGGCAGCTCAAGAAGAAGCGAGGGAGTATGCATCGGTGGCAGGACAGCTGGCGCACATGGGCGCGCTCGAGGGGGCTGACAGGTCCCTGGCAACACAGATGGCTGCTCTGCAGGTCAGCGCAATAGAGCAGCAGCAGGTGGGCCACTGGTTCTTGCTTCTGTGCGGCTATTCACTTCACTCCTGCTTCGTCCTGTGCTGGTACTTCACTTTGCCATCATTGCTCCACTCCTTGTTTTCGTTCACCTAAACCACCTCCTGCCCCTCCCACTTGGGCCCCCATGTTTCCATCCTCAGACACTCGATGCCGTAATCAAGCGCTTCGCGTCGTTGGCTTCTGACGACTTCTCCCCTGCACTGGCCCCTCTTATTCGTATCATCTCCGCTCACTCGTCCCCACCGCTCCTCACTGCTGCTGCGTTGCACTGTCTCTCCTCCCTCGCCTCCTCCCTGCACCATCTGCTGTTGCCCCACCTGCCTGTCCTTATGCCACCTCTATTCGCCTCAGCTGACCGGGCTCTTGCTGCGGCAGGAAATGGGGTGGTGGAGGAACCTGGGGCAGATGAGGGGAATGGGGAGGGTGGGGATGAGCAGATGGAGGAGGAGGGTGGGGGTCATGGGAGATCGGGGATGGTGAGTGAGGGTGTGGCACATGACCTGCTGGCTGCTGTGCTGCAAGCTCTGGAAGCAATGCTGGCGGCCATGGGCCCTCTCCTCTCTCCCTTCACTCCTCGCATCCTCGCCTGCACCTGTCTCAGTCCTGTGCTTCTCTGCTGCCCCTCAGCCTCGGTGCTGCAACATGCCCACGCTGTGCGACAGCTGCTCATTCAGAAGCTTCCTGTAAGGCCCCCCACTTATTCAACCACCCTATCCTTTGTCAACTGCCGTGTTATGGGGCTCTTACACGCAAACTGCAGACATGGTCCGACTTCCAGCATCCCTTTTTATGCTGGAACATGTGCTTCAGAGCGGAAAATTGTGATTGCGGGCTGATTTTTCCATGCCGTGTCCCGCCCTTCCGCTGCCCCCCTTCCCCTGCTCCAGATGCGGCTGCTTCTGGACCCTCTGGTCTCCTCCTGGACAACGGCCACAGCTGCAGGCCCTGCCCCCTCTGCTGCTCTGCTGCACATGCTGGCTCGTGCTGCTTCCCACATGGACCGGACTGCTGCCTCCACCTTCCATGCCCGCATCTTCGACTTCCTCCTCCTCCGCACCTTCGATGTTCGCCGCGCCCCTCCCTTTCCGCCCTCTACTGACAGCTCCTCCAATCAAAGACTGCCAGGTGGCACGCAGATGGTCACACCTCCTGATGTTGAAGGAGCATCAGTGGCCGCAATGGTGGGGTTGGTGATGAAGACGAGTGAGAGTGTGTTCAAGCCCATGTTTGTACGCGTGCTGGAGTGGGCGGCCAGTGAGTACGCTGCTGATGGTGATCCCATTTCGCCAGCAGGCAGAGTGGAGCGACACCTCACTCTCTTCGGTCTCGTCAACGTTCTCTCGGACAAGCTCAGGTACAGATACTTCTGACAGCAAGGATCGGCTGTTGCATCAGCATGAGTATGCACATTCTTACTACTGCTCCGTTGATCTGCCTCCAATTATAGCCTTGTGCTCCTTTCAACCCCTCCTCTCAGGTCGGTGTTCGTGCCATACTTCCAGTACCTCTTCGACATTGCCATTCGCCACCTTGTTGGCACTGCTGATGCTGCCAAGGGGGGGATTAAGAAGAAGAGGCGCAAGTCAGCAAGTGTGGCAGCAGCAGCAGAGGACAGCATTGCACAGTGGCAGCTGAGGCACCTGGTGGTGTGTGCTCTGCACAAGTGCTTCCTCTATGACTCCAATGCGGCCTTCTTGGATGCAACACGCTTCCAGGTATGCAGCCGTCCCGCAGTGATTGCAACACACCTAAGGAAGTCAAGAATGTGTGTGCCTTATCTAACATATGTCACGTGCTTGATGTGTTCAGGCTCTCCTGGAGCCCCTCGTCTCTCAGATCGACAGAGAGCCTCCAGCTGGGGTGGCTTCCATTGTTTCAGCCCCATCTGCTCCAGAAGCTCTCTCGGTGGCTTCTCAGCTTTCAGAGGCACACCTGATGCTGGAGCCCTACATTGCAGCGTCTGTCCCGAGCATCAGCGCCGTGGATGATGAACTCGTGACATGCCTCGGTGAAATGACCGTTGCAGGAGGGTCTGATATCCTCTGGAAGCAACTCAACCACCAGGTGCTGTGCTGTGACAACCGAGTGCGAGTCTAGTCTTGCCTTTGTCTATGTCGACTTTTTACCTGAACACCGGCGTTTCTTGTTTTGTGGCAGGTTCTGATGTGCACTAGGAGTGAGCGAGTGCGGTCGCGTCAGCTGTCTCTGCGTGTTGTCAACGAGATTGTGGATCGGGTTCGCGAAGAGTATGTTGTGCTGCTGCCGGAATCCATCCCCTTCCTGGCAGAGCTGCTGGAAGACCCAGATGCCAATGTGGCTGAGAGTGCAAAGAGCCTGGTGAAGAAACTGGAGGAGCTCAGTGGAGAAGAACTCACTCAGTACTTTTAAATGAGAGGCTGTGTGTGTACTGGACTTTTTCCTATTGCTGGACACGTTTTACTGAATCCTGAACCATCATTATCTGGTGGTGGTATTTCCTTCAAAAGTGTAATGCCCAGTAAGGTGCATGTAAAACACCTACAAAATAGACACGTTGTGTATCACTGCTGTGAATAAAATGCACTAAGATACATGTTGTCAAGGGCTCACATTGCATTGCTGCATAAACGGGTGGTCTATCTTGACATATTTGGTCCAGTACCGCTTGAACTTAGTCATTGATATCTCGAGCCACGGCTTCATGTTGCCATTGTAATGCACCACCGCAGCACTGCAAGATAGGAAATGAGGGATGTTAGTAAGCGCCACATGCAAGAGTTACACATACAGGTGAACGGTAAGGCTTACTTGTTCAGCTCGTCCATGTCAAGGTTTGGATTGTAGCCGAGTCCCAGGGCATGCCAGCCCTTGTCGATTGGCTGAGTCTTGTTGTAGAACGTGATTAGGCCAGGTGGTAGCGTCCCAAGCTTCCATAGAGTACGATCTTCATTCTGTAACACAGCTTCAGCAATTCAGTTAGTAAGCAGTAAACAATCTTGGAGGATAAAAGCTGCTGGAGTTTTGTTGTTCCATCTTGACAGCCCTCATTGGGATTTCAGGGCATGAACAGCATTGAAGTGAAAAGGAGGCCTTTCAACCGTTGAAGCCCACCTGTGTTTGCCATCTGTGGTAGATACCGGTAATATCTTGAACTTTCCACTGCTTCAGGTCGAAGACATTCATCCCATATGCCCAGCCACAAGCCTGCAGGAAGACAGATCAAGGGGAGTTGATGGTGCCCAGATGAATTCACCACAGGACAATCTATCGCAACCCTCAAAGGACAAATGGTACCTGTGGATCGAAGTTAGAGGCTATCAATGGATTGGAGAAGTTGAGGTATTTGTCAAATCTGTGGAAACTGGCCCCACATGTCTCCACGGCACCATTCACATTTCCATGCAGGTCGACCTGCCAAACGCAATGAGAGATGTCAGTCACTGACAAAAAATGCATCAAAGTGAGAGGCCGTGTGGCGCAGCAGAGCAAGCACTTACCTCCCACAGTGGTGTGAGATCCTTTTGAACCACGATGTCATCATCCAGGAACAGAACCTTGTCCAGCTTGGGGAAAACTTCAGGCAGATAGAAACGGAGGTGATTCAACATTGACAGGTACTTGGGATTGCGATACTTGAGGTTTGCTGTTGCACCTCCCGCTGTTTCTGTCTGTTGCCCCGTCTTGAAATAGTAGTCCTGCAAAACAAGAACACACGAGTTTCGGCAAATGCTATCCATGTGGTCCAAGCTGAACGACATAATCTTGCAGCAGCTCCTGTACCGTACCTTCATTGATGCAGATTCCAACTGCCTCAGAACAGGGCAGTAGGACGAGTTGAGCCAGGTGAAGTCATCAACGCTCTGAACCTCAATCGTTGCCTCCTTGGGAGGGTTGAAGAGGAACCAAGCCTGCAGAGAGTACCAGAATGTCAAATCTAACTCCCAAATAATCTTGTTTATCAACAGCATCAACCGTTGAACTCACCTTCATGGCCGCTATATTGAGCTTGTCAGTCACTATGTGGAACACATGCCTTGATGAATCCTGAACATGGAAAAAATCCGGAAACGAAATTTTGAAAGCCAGTGGTTGAGCAACGGTTTAGAATGGACGTGCAGTGGCAGTGGCAACAGTGGAGGCAGACGTACATTTGCATTGACCACAGTTGAATTGACGACCACGGCTGTTGCAAGCACGTTGTCAGAAAAGAGTGCATAGTGATGGTAGTCATTGTCTTCCAGCTTCTCCTTTCCTGGAAACTCCCGCTCCTCTGGAGAAAGGTTGCTGTATTCTATTGTCAGCCGCATGGAGAGACAAAAGATTCCCTTCGGTATGGTCTTCGCAGCGAGCTGACTCAGGAAAAGGCTTTGCTGCCTCAGAGCTTGGTTCTGAAATGTTACCCAAACAATTTCCGGTCAGCCATGTGTGCAAGGATGGGGACGCAGCCACTAACAGACTGGGACTCACCTGCTCTTCAGCAGAATGCACCATGGCACGTAGCTTCTTCACCATTCCAGTGCAGTCGTAGTGCTGATCTCTCGCTCTGGCCAGCAACTGCCCCATGGCACGCATCTTCTCCACCGCACTGCAAGGCATGTAATAGAACGCTTCAATGAATTTTTGGCGAATCAGGAATAAGCGATTCACACTCGGCAGGTTATTGGGCGCGGTCGACCTACTTGGAAGCCAGCTCAGCGTCCGTGGTTGCTTCGCCCAGCGACTTGGTGCTGTCCTTCATCCTGTTCTTCAGCTCCTTGGACAGCTTCGAATCCCCATGCTGCTGCGCGATGGCCATGTACGCTCGCGCCATAATCAGCTGATCCTGAATAAGTCTAATCATCTGGTCCCCGCCTATCTTCTCGTCCTCCCTACGCCAGATGCTGTATTTGTTCAGAGCGATGGCGGGTTCCGTGCCAGACCCCTTCTTCTTCTTCTCTTCCGCCTCAGCAGCGTCGTCTTCTATGGACTCCTGCGCGACCAGCTCGTGAAGCCTTTTGTCTCGCCGACGGATTCGGTTTTCCTGCAATAAATATTCACAAGTAAGCACGAAGTCGCTGTAGAGTAACAACACGAATTTGAGGAGCGGCGACGTACTCGTCTTATCCGTCGAGCAGGATCATTGGGATCCGGCTTAAGCAGGGCTTCCATCGCCCGCAACGACTCTGGGTCCTCCCCTGCATCCAAGCGAGGACCATCAGCGGGAGGCGGCAAAAAAAAATCAAAACCATGCGTAGGTATCTGGCGGTGCGACTTACCTTCTGCAGCAGCCTTGGCCAGAAGGCTGGCGTGATCAGCAGTGGAGGCTCCCAACGTGGCGAGCGGGTCTTCCGAGGGAACCTGAAAGGCGATGAGTCAGTGACAACTGTGCTTTATGCAGCAAATTCTTGATATCGGTGCGAGCAGTCTACTCACAGACTGCGCTTTCCGACGCCTCTCCTGAATTCGCTCCAGAGCAATCGATGTCGGTTCTTCCACCGACAGCGAGCGCAAGTCCGGGAGGGACGAATCAGCCGCATTAGTATTAACGACGTCCAGTACCTAAGGGAGAACCGAGGAGATGTGGTTAGAAAACCGATTGTGGAGAAAGTAGATGCTTACTTCATCATTTGCATGCATACCTCCTTCGGGAAAAGCGACTCTATCTGCTCCAAAGCTGCCAGACTCTTTGTCTCGGAGGATAAAACCTGGATATATTGAAACTTGAATGTAAGTCCCGATTCGTATTTAGCTGATGGATGATTGAGGGAAGACTACGTGCATACCTGGTCTACTGTGGTTGCTACTGAGTTGTCACGACCTGCACAGGTGTAGAGTCGTTTGGATAAGGAATGCGTTCGTCAAGAATTGCAAAATGCGAAAAACCGATCCTTACGCGTCGTGGAAGAAGCGGGTGATGTCAACGGGCTAGACAGGCGATAACCGAAGAATACGAACGCACTAGCGAGAGCGACTACGGATATTACAACTGCGTTCCTGCATACGGACAGTCCCCCTGTTCGTAACCTCATCAGGGAGGTCCGCCTGGCCTGAGCCAGGTGCTTTCCGCCTGACGACACCATGGCCAAAAATGGCTTAGCGAATCTTGACGTTATTATTCTTGTTCCAAGGTCGCAACATAGCTAAGGAAAACAATGGATGCTGTGGAAGTTGAGGGGAGACGTTAGAATCTGAGTAACCTTGATTCTTCTGTGTTTGACTTGCTTCACCTTTCCCATCCCACCCATCTGTTACGCTTCCATTCCGCACTGACAGGCCGCCTCCCAGACGAAGGATCGAACATGGAGACGCATCGGTGTTCCCGCCCAGACAATACCGAGGTCAGCTGACAACACTCTGGGAACTCCCTTTGTAAGAATTCCGCTTTCAATGAAAGCGTTGTCGTTGCAAGCACGTCTACACTGTTCCCATCATCCTTTCCAACTTGACAACTCCAAGAGAGTCAAAAAGCTCCGTTGCCGGGATTTGAACCCGGGTCGCCTGGGTGAAAGCCAGGTATCCTAACCAGGCTGGACGACAACGGATGCTCAAGCGACTTAAATGAATTTCTACATACTCTAATCGCTGAAAGCGAACCACCTACTTCACTTTGCTCGCACCATGCTTTAGTCATGAAGGCCTTCAACCAAGCATTCAATCAGCCAGGGGGCGCGTTTCGAGTCCTCCTCGTCACCTTCGCGATCGTCCATTTCGTCCGAATCTTTCTAATTCCCACCGTCGCGTGGCTAATCGGCAGTGAGGAATTCGCGGACACCGAGCGCGTAGTCCGTATCATCGGGTTTCGGCCGTCGGGCCCGTGCTCCCTGCCGCGGCCGGTGAGCAACTGCACGGTGAACGAGCGCATCCACATCGTGCTGGTGAGCGCGCAATGGGACCGCGAGCCGTTCACGCGCGACGAGACGGAGGTGATTCTCAAGTCCATCCTCATGTCGACGCAGTGCCGGCTCTTCTTCCACTTCATGGTTTCGGGCGAGGCGGAGGAGTGGGGCATCTCCGACATGATGGAGCAGCTGGGCGCCGTGCCCTTCGACGCCGTGGGGCCCGTGTCGCCCAACCTCGTGCGCCACGACATCGACGCGCTCGTCGACCAGATCAGCTACGACCCCAACCACGACGACAAGGTCCGCGCGCCCCTCCCGCCCTGCGTCACTCCTGCCCTGTACCGTGCCTGGCGGGCCGTGAGCCACTGGCTCACATTGAGTGTAAGGCGTCCAGGAAGTTGGGGTTTCCTTGTCTTGACGTGAGAGTGCGTGTGCTGTGTGGGTGCGCGCGTGCGTGCAGGTGGCGGACGATCCTCCAGTGGGCTACACCATCCACCCCATCCCTGTCTGCTGGGTTCGCCATAAGGCAAGTGCGCCTCTCCCCCCCACGCTCCACCTTCAACCGCACGTCAATGCTACCCCTCATCTTGCGTTCCATGGCGCACCGTACCTTGCTGCACCACCAACCCAGCTGACACATGCATGCGCGCATTCATCCTCCCCCTCCCCTCCGCTCCCCCCTTCCGCGCGGCGGGGTGGCAGGCGGAGCTGCTGGGCATAAACATAACGCACCACTCGGGCGAGGCGGGGTTCGCGAAGCTGTTTCTGCCGGAGATCCTGTGGAACGTGCGGCGCGCCATCTACCTGGACGTGGACATGGTGGCGGCGGAGGACCTGGGCGCGCTGTGGGGGTACTTCAAGGAGATGGACGCGGACCCCGACCTGCTGCTCTTCATGGGCGACAACCACCCCACCGCCTACGGCCCGCGCTCCCGCTACCCCTTCTGCTCCTGCCAGCTCATCATGGACCTCGACCGCCTCCGCCGCCACAACCTCACCCGCGTATGCCCGCCTACTTCCCACCCTTTCTGTGCTCCGCCCGCATTTGCCGTGCCCTCCCCTGCCCTCCCGTGCCACACCCTCCCTTGCTGTGCTCCGCCCATCCCTGCACTCCCCTCCCACTATCACTACGCTGACAGTCTCTAGGCTCTGAGCAGTTTAGGTTCCAATCCAAGGCAACGTCCCCACTTCCCCTGCGCGCGTCCCCCTGCATGTGTGTGTTGTGCATGTGTGTGCGTGGCATGGCAGCTGGTGATGGAGGCGTTTGGCGAGCAGAAGGCGATGGAGGTGTGGGGGTTCAGGCCGGGCGACCAGTGGGTGTTCACGATGATGTGCATGAACAACCCCGACAAGTGCCGCACCCTGCCCAAGATCTGGAACGTCTCCGGCTGCTCCAAGCCCCGCTTCCTCGGCCTCAACGCCCGCGACAAGGACCAGGTGCGCTGCGACATGGACCAGGTGCGCCCTGTGCATGCGCCAAGGACCAGGTGCGACAAGGACCAGGTGCGACAAGGACCAGGTGCGACAAGGACCAGGTGCGACAAGGACCAGGTGCGACAAGGACCAGGTGCGACAAGGACCAGGTGCGACAAGGACCAGGTGCGACAAGGACCAGGTGCGACAAGGACCAGGTGCGACAAGGACCAGGTGCGACAAAGACCAGGTGCGACAAGGACCAGGTGCGACAAGGACCAGGTGCTGCTGGGCTGCTGCTTCTGCTGCTTCTGTGGTGGTGCTTCTCGGTGGGGTCGTGCTGCTGTGTGCTGCATGGGGATAGGGACGTCATGACTTGGCTTCTTGCAGCACACTTGCTCTTCTGGGTCTCTGACCCCATGTCAGCCCCAATGTCATGTGTCTCACATGTCTTCCCCGCCCCCCTCCCCCATGTGGTGTGCGCATGTGCATGGGTGGGGAGGCAGAACGGGACGTGTTGGCGCATGGCGCATTTCAACTGCATAGGAGTGAGGGACAACCGGTACTACGCACTGGCCAACACGGACTGGGAGGACATGCGCCAGGTCGTGCACGACACCTCCTGGGCCTCCCTCAACCGCTCACCGCACAGCTCTGCCGTGCAATGACACCGCCTTGATGTCTGGCACACTTTTCCATCTTTGGGAAACTCGTGGTGTAGGATTTAGTGATCACAAGTATATGTATCTGTTGCTTCAGGCCCCTTTAGTCAGGTGTTCTGCTGTGCTCTTCTCATTCTTTCTGAGTCAGCCACGTTCTCTGTCTGATAATCTGGTGTAGCAGAACAGTGTAGCGAAATCCAAAAACAATAACGCAACCACTTTTATTCGGGAGGATGGCGGAATGAGAACGGCCACACCGCCCATCAAAGGCGCCAATTGCGCAGCCTACTTCAGCCCGCGTCCTACATATATTACGTGGCAACTAGTTCCTTGACGAGAGCTCGGTCATCCCTCTTTGCACCTACGCTCTGCGACCGCGCGCAGCGTACGGCGCGCACCCACTCACGCGTAGCGTAGGCCAGCGGCAGGGATGGCGGCAGTGCCCCCCTCGGCGCCTGCGCTGACCAGCCATCGCGCTGCTCGCTCAACGCCATCGGCGCTCGGCCCGCTCGGGCGCGGCGCGACATGGCGGAATGGAAGCGGCGGCCGTCTCGCGACGCGGAGGCCAGAGGTGCCTTGTGTGTGGCGCAGAGGCAGCAAGGGTGCGTGCAAGCTGCCTCGCTAGCAGCCGCCGCAACTGCCCGTCCTCCTCGTGCGCTCTCCGACCATTCCGTCGCTGTGCACTAGCCCGCCCGTCTACCACCCTCTCTCCACACCCTTCCGCGTGCTCCCCCCATTCCCCATCCCGCCCCCCTCCCCCTTCCCTCAGCCCTCAGCGCGCGCGCGTCCACCCGCCACCTACCGCCCATCCCCACAACCTTCCCGCCCCTACCTGACCCCGCCCTGCCGCCCTACGAACAGGTGCGCGCGCGTACCTTATGCCGCATGCCTCTCTGCTTTCCCCCTCACGTGTCTGCCCTCTGCCCGCCACCTCTCATGCCGCCCACACCACTGCACCTTTCATCACCACATCGTTTGCACGCACCCATGCTTCTCAACGCACTTGTCTGCCTTGCCTCCCGCTTCCCCTGCCAGTTCGTGCTGCCCAACGGGCTGCGCGTCTTTCTCCTCGAAGACCACGAGCTGGGGCTGGTGGGTGAGCGCTGGGTGGGGCTGGTGAGGTGTAGACAGGAGGTTCAGAGGGGCCAGATTGATGCACCCATGTCCGTAACTCCGCCCGTACCTCGTTGTCACACCCCTCACTCGCACATGATGCTCACTCTCTCTCTCTCTCTCTCTCGCCCCTCTACTGCCTGTCTGTCCACACGTGTGTGTGCATGCGCGCAGGTGGGAGGGCAGCTGCTTGTGAAGGGCGGGGCGCAGTATGAAGCGCCCGACAAGGTGACTCCCTTCCCCCCCCCCCCCCATGCATGCGTGCGCCCCATGTGTGCGCCTCTCACCATGCATGTGCCTCTCACCATGCATGTGCCTCTCACCATGCATGTGCCTCTCACCATGCATGTGCCTCTCACCATGCATGTGCCTCTCACCTTGCATGTGCCTCTCACCATGCATGTGCCTCTCACCATGCATGTGCCTCTCACCATGCATGTGCCTCTCACCATGCATGTGCCTCTCACCATGCATGTGCCTCTCACCATGCATGTGCCTCTCACCATGCATGTGCCTCTCACCATGCATGTGCCTATCACCATGCATGTGCCTCTCACCATGCATGTGCTTGGCCTGTCATCAGTTGTTAAAGGGGTCGTGCCATGCCGTCCCAGCAGCTTATGACTCCATGGCCATGCGTGCAAGCAGCACCCACCATGCATGCATGCGTGCTCTCCCGCCCTGTGTGTGAGCACAGGTGGGAGTGGCGGGCATGATGGCAGCGGTGCAGCGCAGTGGGGGCACGCAGCAGTACCCAGAGGAGCACCTCGACGACAAGCTTGAGGTCCGCCCTGCACGCACTGCCCAGTGCCCACCCCATTGGGTTCGCCCCACCACGCCATGCGCACTAAACCTTGCACCTTGCCCGCCACAACTCTCTTTCTCTCACGCCTTTACTGAGCCGATTCCGTCACCGCCCCTGTCCCAGCAGCGCCACCATCCCTTCACTTTATCCTTGCTCATCCCTCCTGTGTTCTGCGTGTGCCCCTGTGCGTGCTCCCCGGGCAGGCAATGGCGGCGTCCATAGAGACGTCAGCGGGCACGTCATCGCTCTCAGCGTCCTTCCGCTGCCTGCAAGAGGACGCCCCCGCCCTCCTCCCACTGCTCCGCGATGGTTCGCCCTCCCTGCTTCTCCCTGCCCCTGCCCGCCCCTGCCTGCCTCTGCTGCATGGAATCGCATCACGCCCAGGCCTGTAGACAGTTTCTCCCTGCTCTCTATGTCACTTCCCTCGGATTCCTCCCCACTCATGCCCTGTAATTCCCTCCTGTCTCCCCCTGGCCTCTCCCTCCCCCCACCAGTGGTGCTGGCACCGCTGCTACCGGCGTCCAAGCTGGCCTTCTCGCGCACACAGCTGCTCGGCTCCATCGCCCGCCGCAACGACGATGTCCGTCCATGCTCGCTTGCACGCCCCCACCAATCCACGCCCCCACTCCCACCCATCCCTGCGTCCCCGTCTGCTCGATGCGCCCCGCATATGCCCATGCCCATGCCATGCTCGTTCATCCATGGATCTGCACTGTGCATCACTTCACCAGCCAAGGGCATTGCAGCACGCCACACCACCTTCCCTACATTCCATCCGTTTCTCCAACCCCTCCTTCCTATCCTCCTACCCACCAACCCACCCACCCCAGCCAGGGCGGGTGGCATCAAGGGAGCTGCAGCGCCTGCTCTACAGCCCCGCCTCCCCGCGCGGCCGCTACCCCCTCGCTGCTGACGTCGCCCGCATCTCCCTCGCCGACCTGCGCGCCTTCCACGCAGCTTCCTACAGCGACCCATCGCAGGCGGTGCTGGGAGTGTGGGGCGACTTCGATGCGCGCAGCATGAGGGACCTGCTGGAAGACACCTTCCTCGCCTGGCCCGCTGCCCCCGCCTCCCCTGCCCGCCGCACTGCCAAGGGGCGCCCTGTGCCGTACTGGGGCCCGGAGGAGGGAGCAGCGGGCAGTGCGGCAGGCGTGTATGTGGTGGACCGACCAGGGCTCACCCAGAGGTGCGCGTGGGACAGGCACGCGGGCAGTGCCGAGGGAAGGGGCACGCATGGCAGAGAGACGCAGAGGTGTGGATGGGAGGGACGGCTCGCAGATCACCCCATGGCAATGCACTGCGCTCATGCCTTGCTTGCACTGCTTGCGCTGCCTCTCCCCTGCCTCTCCTCCCCCCCACCAGCATAGTGCGCGTGGGCGAGTTGGGCATGAGCATCAGCGACTCCGATGTGTTTGCACTGGACGTGCTCAACGCCATCCTCAACGCCTTCGGTGCCCGCCTCTTCGACCAGGTCACCTCCCACACCCTCTCTCCCACACCGCCTCTCCCCTTTCTCCACCTCCTTCGCTACCTCTTCCTTCACCCCGCCTTTCCTTATTCTTCTCGTTTCACTCGCTTTTCCCCTTCGCTGCTGTAAAACCTGCTCCCAATCGGACTCCCCTGTGTGCAAATGCACATGCGTCCCTCCCATCCCCTGCAGGTGCGGTCAAGGGAGGGTCTGGCATACTCGGTGTCGGGCTCGTGGTCGCCAGGCGTCGACCACCGGGTGGGTCATGCTGCTGCTGCTGCCCGCCTGCTCTTGCCTGATCTCTCTGCTCCGCCTCTCACCTGCCCTGCTCACGTCACTCGCACCTCCCAGCGCTCATCATTGTGCATCTTCCCTCTCACCAACACTTGTGCCTGTGTGTGCCCTGTGTGTGTGCCATGCATGTGCGGTGCATGCAGGGGGCGTTTGTGGGAGGGGGGGAGACGAGGGCGGAGGCAGTGGGGCAGTTCATCACAGCGGTGCAGCGCGTGCTGGGGGAGGCCACGCTGCTGCCACCCTCACCAGGTGAACCTGCCCTTGCCACTGCCTGCTCGCCTCCCTCCACTTCCTGCGTGCTGCAGTACCCTCTTCCAATGTCACCTGAAGTGGTGCATTTCCTGGCGGTGCCCCTGTGGTGCGGTGCCACTGTGTCGTGCTGTGCAGGCGAGCTACAGGAGGCCAAGGACCGAGTGCTCAACTCCTTTGTCTTCAACTTCGCTGACAGGTGCCTCACCACACCACGCACGCTCTCTCATCTGCTGCTCCTGCTTATAGCCATACTCTCTCTCGTACAGCACAAGGCTAACCCAAGGGTGATGTCCCATTCAACCCAAATCTCACACACCTCTCCTCCCCGTGCCTGTTTGTGTGTGTGTGTGTGTGCCCACTGGCAGTGGAGCGCAGCTGAGTCGCATAATGACGTACGCGCTGTTCGGAGTCGATCAGGACTTCATATTTGAGTTCAAGCGCCGTATGGAAGCACTCACACCCGACGCCGTGCTGGCAGCGGCGCAGCGCCGCCTGCACCCCACAGAACAGCCCATCGTGGTCGTTGCGGATGCTGCTGCCGTCATGCCCCAGCTCTCTGCCCTTGGCCTGCCCGTCATCCGCATCGACCCCGTCTAGTCTAGCCCCCTTGCTCTGGCTGTATTCTTACGGTACCATGGGTTAATAATGCATGCGCTTTATAGCCTTCACAACGACACAATGCAATGATAAGAAAGAGCCATTGAGACAAGGCCTTGCCTCATCCACTACCCTCTACGGTAACTACAGCTACTAAGGAGTTTGGAGTTTGTTGTGGAGCATGGCGCATCTAGCAGGGGGCCTGGCCGCCTCTGAGGGCGAGCACGAGGTGCAGCACGGAGCCGCCCTCTATGTTGTAGTCCTTGGCCGTCTTCTCATCGTTCATCTGCTTCCCCGCAAAGATCAACCTGCCATGCCATGCCATGGGATGGAATGGCATTGGGTGGGATGGAATGGGGTGGCATGGGACTCATGAACAACCCACTTAGAAAGGTGCGCTACACAGACACACCCCCCGAGCACCACACGTGCAGCCACGAGCAACCAGCCCTCATGACTCACCGCTGCTGCACGGGCGGGATGCCCTCATGACTCACCGCTGCTGCACGGGCGGGATGCCCTCATGACTCACCGCTGCTGCACGGGCGGGATGCCCTCACGACTCACCGCTGCTGCACAGGCGGGATGCCCTCACGACTCACCGCTGCTGCACGGGCGGAATGCCCTCACGACTCACCGCTGCTGCACGGGCGGGATGCCCTCACGACTCACCGCTGCTGCACGGGCGGGATGCCCTCACGACTCACCGCTGCTGCACGGGCGGGATGCCCTCACGACTCACCGCTGCTGCACGGGCGGGATGCCCTCACGACTCACCGTTGCTGCACGGGCGGGATGCCCTCCTTCTCCTCGACGCGCTCCTTGATGCGTTCGATGGTGTCGGTGGGCTCGATGTCGATCTCTATCTCCTTGCCCGTCAGCGTCTTCACCTTGATCATCATGCCGCCGCGCAGCCGCAGCACCAGGTGCAGCGTCGACTCCTTCTGAATGTTGTAGTCCGCCAGGGTCCGCCCGTCCTCCAGCTGCTTCCCAGCGAAGATCAGCCGCTGCTGGTCCGGCGGAATGCCCTCCTTGTCCTGCGCGCCGAGCACCGCACGCACCGTCTCAGAACACGCGCCGCAACCAGGATAGCACCTAGCTACTAGCACGGCGCGGCAGCGCGAGAACTTGGCCGGTGCGGAGGGAGCGAGCGCGCGAGGCCACGAGGGAGCGAGGGCGCAGGAGAGGGAGAGCGCGGGGAGGGAGGGTGCGGGGGAGCGGGGGAGCGAGGGAGCAGGAGAGGGAGAGCGCGGGGAGCGAGGGCGCGGGGGAGCGGGGGCGCATGGGTGCGCTTGCCTGGATCTTGGCCTTGACATTGTCGATGGTGTCGCTGCTCTCCACCTCGAGCGTGATGGTCTTCCCCGTCAGCGTCTTCACGAAGATCTGCATCCTGCCCGCCCAGCCCCGCTGCGCGCCGATTCACGTGACTCGCGAGATGAGAGCGACGCCGATGTTCCGTAAGACGAGGCGATGGCGGGGAGCTTTGAGCAGGAAAATGGAATGCCAAGTCCGAATACGCGATAACTGATCTCCGCGAAGGTGGAAGGGGTCCTCTAAGAGTTTTGGTCTAGAGTGAGGCAAACTGGTTTACAACCTCTTGACATGTGCACTGTACCATTAGATCTGAACCTTGCTTGATTGCATAAATTTGTTGTGCTGTTGCAAGGGGTTTTTTGGATTATTATTAATACTTTTCCAGACAATAATGACAACGGGTAGCTAAAAATGCCGTCTTATTCACTTGAAAGGGCGTCACTCTGACGTGCGAACGATCATGGCATCTCTGCCGGGCCCCACACCAATATAGCGCACAGGCACGTCTAGCAGCTCCTCAATGCGCCGCACATACGCCTGTGCGTTGCCTGGCAGCTCCTCAAATGTGCGCACGCCTGTGATGTCCTCTTGCCACCCCGGCACCGTCTCATACTCCACCTGCACGCACACACAGCAATATGGTAACACAGCCGGGCATTGAGGCCACCCGCGCAGTCATACGGAATGACAGTAATTATCGATGCACAAGGGCACTGAATGTGAATGTGAGGCTGTTGCAGGGCATGCGGCACGCACCTGTACTTGTCCCAGCAGCTCCAGGTCAGCGGGGAAGGCGGGCAGCAGCGACCCATCAGGCGCGCGGTACCCCACACCCAGCTGCAGCTGTGGCAGGCCCGAGAGCACGTCGAGCTTGGTGAGGTTGAGAGCGGTGAAGCCGTTCACCTGGCACGCGTACCGCAGCGCCACCATGTCCAGCCACCCGCAGCGCCGTGGGCGGCCCGTGGTGGTGCCGAACTCGTGGCCCGCCTTGCGCAGCTGCTCGCCCAGCTCCCCAAACAGCTCCGTCGGGTACGGGCCCTCGCCCACCCGCGTTGTGTACGCCTTCGCCTGGAGCAGAGGGGCCGGGGGGAATAAAATGGTGGGGGGGTGAGATGCAGGGGAGGTGATATGGAGGGGAGGTGAGATTGAGAGGGGTTGAGACGGTGAGGTAAGATGAAGCTAGCGGGGTTGAGATGGGGAGGAGTTGGGGAGTGAGGGTGAGGTGAGATGAGTGAGGCAATGTGATTAAAAAGAACAAGGCTGCAGCAGGAGAGATGTCAAGCAGCTGAAAGTGGACATTTGGGCATGTGTGTATGTGGGCGATGGGCATGTGGGCATATGTGAATGTGAGCAAGCGGGGATGGGCGTGTGTGCATGAACACATGTGAGCAGCTGAGCAGGAGGGACGCACGACGCCAATGATGTCCCCAAGGGCGCGGGGGGGGATGCCAAGGCCGGTGCAGATGCCGCCAACAGAGGGGTTGGAGGAGGTGACGAAGGGGTAGGTGCCGAAGTCCACGTCCAGCATCGTCGCCTGCCCGCCCTCCACCAGCACTCGCCGCCCGCCCCGCACTGCCTCGCCCACGAAGTGAACAGTGTCCGTGATGAACGGCTCCAGCCGGGCCGCAAACTCCCTGTAGCGCTCCACCTCAGCGTCGAGGTCGGCTTGGGTGTACTGGAAGGCGGGGAAGCGCTGGCTTGCGTCGCGGTAGAGGGTCTCCAGCTTGGCGCGGAACGTGTCCATGTGGCGCAGGTCACACACCCTCACCCCGTTGCGGATGGCCTGGTGGGGCAGAGGGCAAGGGAGAGCGAGGGGGAATGCAGAGTGGGGCGAGCACGGGGAACAGTGGCGTTGGTGATGTGATGAGCCGAGGACGAGAGGAGCACAGAACAAGGAATCCCAGCCCAACTACCCACTATGAATCACAGCCACGCCAGCCCAGCAACAGCCCCGTGTGCTCTCTCCCACCTTGCTGTGACTCATCCCATCACCCCTTCCGCCCTCGTCCCCATTCTCTCACCTCACGTCACGCCCGCCTCTCCCTCTCTCTCGCACATTCCCTTCCCCTTCACACTCGCTCGCTCTTTTTCACAACACCCCCATGTCCCTCACACACCACCCCCTCTCTCTCCCACACCCTCCCTCCCCTCTCACACATCATTCCCTCACATACACCACTCGCCCCGGCATAAACCCACCCCCCCCTCCCCCACGCACCCCCACGTGCGCACCTTACTGGCGTAGCAGGGCCCGATGCCGCGCTTCGTGGTGCCGATCTTGTCGCCCGCCAGCTCCGCCTCGCGCAGCGCGTCGACGGTCTGGTGCAGGTCGAAGAGCAGGTGCGCGCGATCGCTGACGAGGATGCGCCCGTCCACGCGCACGCCGTTGGCCGCCAGCCCGTCCAGCTCCTTGAAGAAGCCCGGCAGGTGGATCACGGGCCCGTTGCCCACCACGCACGTCGCGCTCGGGTGCAGAATGCCCGACGGCACCAGGTGCAGCGCGAACCGCCGCCCCGTGCTGTCGTATATCGTGTGCCCCGCGTTCGCGCCGCCCTGCACCACGGCGCGCGGAGGGTGGGGAGCGCGGTGGTGCATTGACGTCCGAAATCTGTCTTATTTTCGCGAAAATGAGAGCGAGGTGGGTTCCTTGTTTATTCAGCCAGTCATGCAGCGACTGGGTTGATAGTCAGCCAGATTACTCGCGTGGGCAATGGCGGTGGGTACGCACGTGCTTCGGGCACGGGCTGATCATGAATTTCGCTCGACAAATTGACACCTTTTTAACCTTAAGATTCAAATTGAGAGTTTAATTGTCGTGTGGAAGTTGAATTATCTTTGGGACGTCTCACAACAAGCGTCCCATCCTCGGCCGCTGCCCGCTGGCGTCGCATTAACCGCCTCATTGTGCGCCTGACGTGATCCACCAGGGTGCGCGGCTCTCGTCCGCGGAGCCCACGACCATCACAGGCCCCAATTGTGACCAACGTTATCTCTCTCTCTCTCTTGCCAATTCCCCGCGATCGCCCTCCCCGCATCCCCCGCTCTCGCCCTCGCCTCTGCGGGCCGCCGCACGGCGTCTCACCTGGCAGCGCGCGACGACGTCGTATCGCTGCGCGAGGATGTCGACGAGCTTGCCCTTGCCCTCGTCGCCCCATTGCGTGCCCAGCACCGCGCACACCTTCGACAGCTTCGCCCACTCCGCCTCCGCCGCCGCCGCCGCCGCATTCGGCGCCGACGCTGCCACGGACGCTGTGACAACGGATCGCCGCCTGGACGCAGCAATTTGACGGCAGCTACTCGACCGGCTTCTGCCGGTGACGGCGGCGGGTGATTGCGTGAAGGACGATCTGAGAGTTACTTGCGGAGCAGGCGCCGCTGGCGACGGGGAGCCGCTGGCTTTTGGCACAGCGGCATGACGCGCCGAAGAGACGGTGCCGCGCAATGCGGGGGACGGGGCAGATACCGCGGCAGCCATAGTTGACGCGGACAACGGGACAGTGGGTAAGGAAGAATGGTCTCAGTTGGCTAGGTCTGGGAGGTGTGGGCTGGGGACGAGATTTATGCTTGAAAGTCAATTCATGGCGGGGAGCATGGGTGTGGGATTGCTACGTGCAACGGACGGCGGCGAGGGGAGGGAGACGGAAAGTATGCGGGCAGTGAAACCACAGTTGGTGGAGTGGGGGAAC